TTTAACAATCTTAATGTGTAAGATAATAAGCATCAGTACAAGATGAAAATAATTTACAAATTGGAGGTTGGCTTGAATTTAAAGTAGGAACAGTTTTGATACAATCTCCATCAATTCCAGTTACACAACCACCATTTGTATTAGTTTCAGTACATAATGTGATAGGAATACAACTTTATCCATCAGTTGTACATAGAGGTGATATTTATTTACATTCTTAATCAGTTTTGAATTATATTGATTTACATGAAGTGAATTAATAACATTAAGATAATTTATCAATCCATTTACATGGACCATCTAATCCTTATATGCATGATAATTAAGTAGTGAATTCATTACAACTTTTTATTTTCATACATTTTGAATTTTCTCCAATAGTACAAGAAACATTAGATTTCTAACAATCTAAATGAGTAGTACCAGTATAATCTTAACATTCTCCAATGTTTCTACATTTACCTTTATCCCAAATGCATTTAATATTATTATAACTTGAATTACAATCTATTTCTTTGTTAATTATTTAACACTCTTTTAATGTACATTTAGTACCTATCCAATAACATTATTCATCTTTGATTGATTTTGTACATCCTATTTCACTTATATATGTTGAACATGATCCTCTTTTTATACATTTAATACCATCAGTAGTACAAGTAGACATTGCTGTTTTGCATTAAGAATCAGTTGTAAATTCATATTCTTCACATGAATGTCTCTTACATTTATTAGTATCTTCAGCAGTACAAGTAGGTAGCCAATTAGAACATAATTAAGCAGTATTTTAATCAGGTGGAGCAGCAGAACAAGTTTTGATTTCACATTTTGAATTATACCAGAAACAATCATTACCACTTGCATCACGAATGCATGAAATTTCAATAGAGATTTCTGTGCATTTATTAGGTATTGAAATACAACCTAATAGATCTGATGAAACAGTGCAATTATTTAAATAATTTTAACAATCTTAATGGGTTGAATAATCAATAGTTTTAGGAGCAGTATTACAATTCATTTCAGTACATGTAGATTCAAACCAAGCACATTTTTTATTATCTTTAGTTGTAATACATTGTTATTCAAATTTATAATCAGTACAATTATTACTCTTATCTTGACAACCTTAAATGATCTATTATTATTAATCATCTAATTTGATAGAGACAGTACAATTAATATCAAAATTTTAACATTATAAATGTGAATTAAAGGAAAGTGATGCAACATTACATGAAATATATTGGCATTTATTAGTAGTTGTATTCCAATAACAATTTTTATTGTTATTATCAACTTAACATTATTATGTAGTTGTGTATTAATCACATGATTTTAATAATGGACAATCGGGTTCAATTATTCCAATTTTTTCTATTTCTTAACAATTGAAATCAATACAATTGAGTGTAGATGGATTCCACCAACATCTTTAATTAACATAATTGTATTTACATTAAATTTATGTTAAATAACTATTACAATTTTATAATTTAGTGATACAACCACCTTTATTGGCAACAGTACATTTATTACTTATATTTTAACATTAATTATGAGTTGTTAAATTATTAGATAAAAGATGACAAGCAATTTTTAAACATTTATTATCTACTACAATACATTAACCTTCTTAAGACCATAGACAAGAATTAGCATTCTATTCTTAACATGTTAATTTCATTTCAACACAAGCATTAAATGAAGAATTGATAGTACATGTTGCTAACCATTCATAACAATCTGCATGACTTGTTTTTAATGTATCAACATTTAAACAAGTTTTGTCTTAACATCCAATTGTTGAATTATTTGTACAAGTATTTTTCAATTTTTGACAAATATCATGAGTGTATGTATAAGATTCACCTAAATAAATTTAATTACATTAAATTGAATTTGACATATTTATACATGTAGCACCTGTATTTAATTATTAATTCTATATACATTTACCTCTAGATGATTAATAACAATCATTCAAATTAATATATAAAGAACATTCTGCTTGTAAATTAGTACATGCATTCATTGTTCTATTGACACTACAATAATTATTTGATAATTGTAGACATATTTCATAAGATAAAGTTGAAGAAGGATCAGTCATTAATGAACAATTCTTTTCTGTAGCAATAGCTATAGGTTTACATACAGTACCTGTCCAAATACAATAATGATCAATTTTAGAATATACACAATTATCACTTGTTGAAGCACTACATGTATTAGCCATATTAATACAAGCAGTTCCTGTTCGATTTATAGTACAAGAATAATCATATTCTTAACAAGTTTCAAAAGATATGGTACCACCAATATAATTTGAACATAGACCAACATTACATGTTTTATTTGTACCTGATACTACCATAATACAAAAATCTCTTTTATCAGAACAATCACTATTTATAGAAGGAGTAGGAAGACTAGAACATTCAACATGAGTATATAGACATAATGTTCCTTTTACTACACATTCTCCTTCTTTTGAATATTTACATTATGATAAATCTGATGTGTATTCAGAACAGAAATCCTTTTTTACAATACATCTATTTTCATCTTTATTTAAAGTACATCCTGAAATCATTTCACAATCCGCTTTGGTTGTGTATAAATAATCTGTACATATTTTATTTATGCATCCTGTAGTTAAATTATTGGCTTTACATCTGAATAATACAGAACTACAATTAGCATCATTATATGTTGTTGTTAAACGAATGTCACTACAATTTATTTATTATAATTCTTGACATTAATCTTATAACCAAATACATTAAACTTAATTAATGGTTGAATGACATTAATAATCATATTTATATTCAACACAATTACTTAATTTATTAACACATCCTTATTAATTAACTTTACTTAATACTGTACATTGACTATTCAATTATTAACATTTCTCATATGTATCATAATTATTAGTATCTGTTGAATCACTACAACCAGATTCTCTACATTATAAACCAGTCCATATACATTATCCTCCTGTTTAATTTAATTTACATTATTCTGAAATTGTGTATTGTTAACATTTTTATATATTAATACATCCATTTAAACTACTATTAATTGTACATTATGAATATTAATTATAACAATCTTAATGACTACTACCTACTAAATTAGAACATATCTTTTCTTTACATTATCCTCCTGTCCATATACAATCATTTTAAGTAGATACAAAACAATTATTTATATTTAATACATTACATGATGAAGGTTTAGTTATACATCCATTACTAGAATTATTCAAAACACAATTGTTCATATATTAATTACAACTTTATTAATTGAAAATTGTTAAATAATTTGGAGATCCAATAATATTTGCAGTTTCACAAGATTATTAAACACATTTATTATTATTCCAAATACAAATTGGTGATGTACCAAATTAACAATTCTATTATAATAGTCTATCATTACAATTAGATGTAAGATTCATACATCCACTTTAATTATTATTTAGTATACAATCAATTTTATATTATTAACAACCTACTGTTGTTGTAATAGAACTATCAGCCATATTACATTATCTATCAACACATGTAGAATTCTTCCATACACAATAACTACCTGATTATGTTTAATAACATGACTTTTCACTTGTATAAGCTTAACATGTTAACATTTTATTCATGCAACCAAATCCAGAATCATCTAGAACACATCCTATCATATACATTTCACATTCATTATGAGTCTTGTATGTTTTAGATGCAAAAACACATTACTTTGTAAAACAATTACTTTTCCATACACAATTATTCTTAAACGCATCTGTTGTACATTGATCTTATTAAGTAATATTTTCACATATTTTATCTACACAACCAATAGATGATGATACATCAAATGTACAGTCATTAGAATATACTTCACATTCTGCTTAAGATGTGGCAGAAGTATTATTAGAACATATTTTTTATACACATTATGTACCATTCCAAAAGCATTTAGTACCATCAGTCATATCAATACATCCTATTTCATTATTAGAACTGGAACAAGAAAGTTATTCAATACATCCATTCATAGTGGTAATACAATTTTTAGCAATTTTCTAACACTATTCATTTGTAGTAAAAGTAATAGGTGCTTTAAAACAAACTTAATCATAACAATTATTATCTAACCAAATACATTATTCATTATTAGAATTTTTAATACATGCAGCTTCAATTTTTGCATCTGTACATCCTTTTATATTTGTACATCCTCCATTTTACTAGGTTGTACACTGATTCATAAACTATTAACATTATTAATGAGTAGTATATGTAATTGGTGCATTTGAACATAATAAAGATACACATTTATTATCTACCCAAATACATTACTATGTTTATAATTTATTCCACCTACATTAAGACATCATTTTGTAATTTTCACAATTTTCTTCACTTTCTACACAACCTCCTTATCCTCCAACTGTACATTTTGATAAATATTTTCTACATTCACTATCAGATTAAATAGATAGAGGTAATTAATTACATTCTGTAAAATCTTGACATTTATCCACATTCCAATAACATTATAGATTCTTCTAATTTAAAAAACATGCTGTTTCAGTTTTGTAATCAACACAATTTCCTATATCTATACAATGAAATCCATCAGTTGAACAATATTATGAGACATATTAACATTCTGTATACTTTGAATAATAATAAGCAGTACAACCTGCAAATTACTAACATTCTTTATCTACCCATGCACAGCCAACAATAGATTGACATATAGAATCTGGAAATGAACTACAATAAGTGATATTTTTAGTAACAACAACAGTTGGATTTGGATTAGTGATACATTTATCTGAATCCCAAAGACAATTATTCTATTGATTTAAGCAATCTGATTGTGATAAGATTTGATCACATTTACATTTTGTATTAGATATTGTAGATGCTTCTAGTAAGATGATTAAGTAAAAGATTATTACTAGTTTAATTTTCATTTATTTATAATCAAACAAATCCCAATTCTTTTTCTGAATCTTAAACTCTATTCTCAAGTACAATAGTATTTTATTGCAATTTGATTCTATCTTAATTGATTTAATCCACTTATTGTTTTAAGAATTAATGTTATTCTAATTGTAATGCATTTTACTCATGAAACTCCTACATCAATCTTTAATACTCTTCATTTAAGTATTTATTTGAATCATCAAATGAATCTGTTGTAATTTATGATAATTCAATCAAATTATTACGTAATTGTTCCTTCTCTTTCTTTGCCATATCTAATTCATCCATTTATTATTGCAACAATTACTACAATTAATAAATCTATTTACATCCAATCTTTGTAAGTGACTCTTCACTGGCATCTTCATTGCAAACTCTTCTTGATCATATTGTCCTTAATCTTAAAAATCACTGTTATAAGCCATATTATATTAATATTAAAACAAATTATCTCTTCATATTATTCTCCATTTCATCATTCTCACTAATATCATCTTCTAACTTCTTTTTCATTATACATACCTAATTTAAGAATGTACGAATCTACAAAACAACATTTAATTAATTTTATATGAAAACCACCAACGAACCATCCCTATTAAAATATCGAGTATCCAATCTATTAAAATCTCCTATAGATTATAGAACAAAAGAACAAGAAAATAGTTTTAGAGGCTGATGAAGACTAATTCACTTAATTTGCTAATGCCCTCTCCATTATACAAAAATTTCATGATGATATTAAGTCCCAATTCCATCCTTCTTCTTAACCTCAAAGAAGAACCAAGAATGTAGTCTCCATATAAGCCATCAATTCAGATTCAGAAAAATCCAATAATTAATCATTTGCTAATGCAAATCCAGACATTAAAGAAGATCAAGACTTTAGAAGGTATCTTAATGATTTATAATCATATAGACGAATCCCTCACTTCTTTTTGTCTCGATTTAAGAAATGGGCTAAGATGATGGAACAAGATGCAGCTTATAAGTACCTACAGAATGTATAAGAATCTAAGGTTATTTAAAACATATAATTTATAAAGACATCAAAATAACAACGATTTGAATTAGGTGATTTGCAACGATGCTTTTAAGTTTAAGTCAATGAACCCAAAGAATCCAAATTATGTAAGAATCTTCTTAAAGATCTATTTATTTCATTTCTATAAAATGAGGCCACTCTATAGATTATTCATTACAACAAAATCAGTTCAATCGAATAAAAAGTACAATATGGAATTCATTCTATCTTAGCACAAATATATTTCTGAAATTAAAAATATGATCTAAGAAATGTATGAACTTAAGCCATTTGATTCATATTTATCATCTGAAAAGATCAAAGGAAAGAGAAATGCCTAAAACAATAATAATCAATCTCCAATTAAAGAAAAATAAGAAGATTTAAGAGAAGAATTTTAAATACCTGAAATGCATGAAAAGTACTCTAATGAAAGTTTTAAGAAATATAGTAATGGACCATCCTTAGTAAAAATGAACAGTTTTTAGTGATTCTTATAAATTTATTCAATTTTATTCTTAATTTTACATATAATTCTATATATTATAATTATTATAAATTATACATAAGTTCAAAACTCATTCTATCTCATATATATATATATATTTATTTATATATATTATATTTATAATGTTAAAAAAACAAAAATAATTTATCGAAAACCCAATCCATGACTTAAGTGTTTGTCCAACTAATAAACTTACACTTTCCTCTCTTGATAAACCCCTTTTCCCAACTCCCTGGAGAAGTTATCAACATTATAATATACAAACACCAACTATCTTAATTAATCAAACTGACAGAGTCTAAGAAATGTCCTTTCAAATTGATAAACTTAAACCTCGTTATAGTAGATCATTAACAAAAAATAGAAAATAATATCTATAAGAGACTGCATAAAATGTATATGATCCAAAACCTATGGAAAAACAAATTTTAAATGGTAGTCGTCTTAAATTTAATGGGGACTTAAGTATGAACCTTTATTAGGAAGAACCTAAACAATAATTGCTCCTTCCTCTTATGTTAGATTTATATTTTTTACATTCTTTTTAGAACAGAATCTGTCAAGGTTGGTTCAATCACTATTAGTAAAGATGTGGCTCTACCTAAATATCTTGATCCTCCAAAAAGTAAAAGGGTTGGCTTCAAAAAATTACCTGAATACTCTATTCGTAGATTCAGTCATGTGGATGATTTGGTCGAACGAGTAAGATTGTAATAAGTTGATATCCTTAAAAAATATTAAGCCAAATCCTTTTCGAAGGATATATAGAATAAACTTAAAGATGAGCTATTTATTATACTTAAATAATTTGAATGATTAATATATATTAATAATATAATAATGGCAACAACCTAATTAGAATTACTCTAATAACTCTATGATTTAAGAAATGAATTCAATGAGTAATTAAAGAAGGTTTAAGCTGCTCCTGAAGTAATATAAATAATTAATTCTAAGAATCAAGCAGAAATAGTAACATTGTAAGATCAAAATAGAAGATATGCTTATAGAATAGGTCATTTAACAAAGGCTATTGATGAATTGATTTAATCAGAAGTAATATAATATATATATTTTTAGAATCAATTACGTACAGAAAATGCATAATTAAAAGCTAGAATAGCTGAGTTAGAAAAAAAATGAATAACATTAAATATATTTTTAAAATAGATCTTTGATTTTAAGGCAAATACTATAGGTACTAATGATCCTATTGTTTAATTTTTACTCTTCCAAAAAAATGTTACATATTCTAAATCACACTTACTTAAATTATGAAATCAAAAACGTAATTAAAATAAGATCAGCTGTTTTCTAAATTTTTTATTTTATCCAATGAAACTTCTGTATATTAAAATAAAACCCTCCTTTTTAGATTCATAATTGATGCTAATTGATGAAATTAGATAATTAAATAATTTATTAAAGCAACAAATGATTTTTAATAATTTCTATAATTAGTATATTGAAATTTCATTTTTGGTTTAAAGTGAATTAAGATCGTAAAAACAATTAATTTTTGAAAAAATTTATGATTTGTACAAAGAAAAACCTTGTGTTCCATGACTAATTTTAAGTTCAATTACTATCAGATTGTATTAAATTATAGAATGTAAAAGTAAAATTCAATTTTTTTAGACTAAGAAAATGGTATAATACACCTTGCGATTGCACGAGAATTCTTTAATTGATTGGAAGATATCTAAAAATTAAAAGAAAATTAATGGTTTCAGTATATTGATTAATGACAAATGGGAATACTTCGAGATGGAATAAACTCATTTAGAATTATTCAAATAGTTTCTAAATGCAAAAATCTCATATTAGAATATTCATAATTTATATAAAATGATCTCCTTTTGTGGAAGAGGTACATATGGTTATGTAAGTATCGTTTTTATTCTTATAGGTCTTTAAATATTAGAATCGTATAAATGGTGAATTTGTAGCATGTAAATCACTTAAGATTGGATCTACTAACACACATTAAGTAAGTAGTTTGATTAATATAATAAGGTATTTATGAAGGAAGTTAAAACATTATAGACATTAAAACATCCTAGCATAGTGAAAATGAAAGAATTTTATGTGGAAACTTAACATTTTTATATAGTAATGGAATTCATGGAAGGGAAATCACTTAGAGAATTATTAAGAGAGAAAACATTCAATGACAAAGAAATCATTATAATTTTAAAAGTAATTATTAATTTTATTTTAGTAAATATTAAATTGTATAAATTATATTCACAAAGAAGGGTATGTATACAGAGATCTTAAATAAGAAAATGTTTTATTTGCTGAATATGGAAATTTGAACACATTGAAATTAATAGATTTTGGTTTGGCTACATAATTGAATGAACTTAGAAATTAAGTACATAGAATATGTGGAACTCCTGGATATTTGGCTCCAGAAGTTTTAAATTTTGAAAGACCTTTGGATTATAAGATTGATATGTTCAGTTTGGGAGTGATACTTTGGGAAATGTAAGATTTGAATTTAATTAAACATAGGATTCATAATTAAAGATTTTTTGAGGGGAGTGATTTAGATGCATAAGAGATATTGAATAGTAAATATAAATTTTCAATTGATTTTACAAAAAATATAGAGAATAAAGTATTGAAATATTTGGTAGAGAAAATGATACATCATAATCCTGAATACAGAATAACAGCAACAGATGCTTTAAATTATTTGGATTAAAATTATATGAATAGTTGTGAAAACTTAAAGGAAAATGACAATAATATTAGTACAGATTGAGAATAGCTATAGATATATATATTGATTATAAATTTTATTATATATTTATATATGTGTATATTTTTTGGTCTCATTCTTTGATTTAATACTTTTTTCTCATTTCAAAGTATTTTCTATAATTTTAATCTCTTGATCTAGAGACAACGATATCTTTGGCCAATAAATAAGAGTAGAACATCTATGTGAGTGGCATACCTTGACGAGCCAATCTAAAAAAGTATGCAATAAAATATAAACTTATCATTATTGTAACCAGTATTAATTAATCCACTTCCTTCTGAATTCTTGCCTGCAGTTAATAAATAATATTCTCTTTTTTAAATTTAGTCTAAATGTGATAGAGTGAACAAATACTTGATTCCAATTTATATTTATATAATGTTCCAATCACACCAAGACCAAGCATAGTTGTAATGATTCTACCTTTTGGTTGTCTGATTCTATAAGTCTTCCAATAAATATAACCGAAAGGGTTTTTAATGAATCTGAAAAAGTTTTTAAAGAATCTCCTTTTATTACCACGATCAATGAATTTTTTTTACATCTAAAATTGTTAAATAAGGAAAGTACTCTAAATTTCTCCATTTCCCAATCATAAGCTTTTCCCATTGATCTCCAAATCATTTCTAATCTTTCTCTTTTATTTGGAGCATGATAATATAAGTAATGTTATCCAAATGTACGCATCTTTACATCTGCATCACCAGTTGATTAATCTCTTATCCAGATATAATCCTATTACATCTTTTCTTGAGAATTAGCCATTTTAAATCTTATTTATTATTTAATTAATGCACTAAGAATTAAACTGTCCTCGTTGTGAGATTTCATTTGATATTTATGATCGTACACCATAAATGCTACCAAAATGTGGTCATTCAATGTGTATGCATTGTCTTCGTGAACAAACTAAAATAATATGTCCTGAAGATGGGTAAAGCAGTAGCTCTAATTTCTAAGAATTGTTTAACCATAAGATTTGAATCTCTACCCAGTCAATTAAGCTATTTTGAAAATAATCAATAAGTCTAGTCTAAAAAACTCATAAATAGATTCTACAGAGTTGGGTGAAACAGTGAGACTCTCAAAATGTGAGAATTTCTTTGAAATAATGGAATCTACATCTCTTTGTAAAGAACATAACAAGAAGATTGAATTAGTGTGTTTAGAAGATCATAATAAAATCTGTGTCAATTGTGCTTTATTTGGTGGACATAAACATCATAATGTTAGAAACATCGATGTATTCATATCTATTTAAAAATAGGAAGTCATTTCAGAAATCTAACACTCTCTAGAAGAAACTGTAGATTTGATGTAGTAAATTCAATCTAAAATTAAATCACTCAAATAACCAATTATTAACAAAAAGATACGTGATTAAATAAGGATTTGTATCAAATAACAATAGACCTTAGCTGAAGAATAATTTAAAGTATACTTATATTACTATAAAATTTAAGGAAATGATAACTTAATTAATGATGAAATAAAGAAAAGTTGTTGAAGAGATTGAACAAAAATATAAATAAGTAGAAGATCAATTAATTAAACGTGAATAATAATATGTCAATCAAGTTATTGAAAAAGCAGACTTATGGATGTTAGCGTAATTCTTAATATTTATAGTTTATAGATCTTAAGAACGTATTAATTAATTTGCTTCTTTAACTGAAAAAGGAGAAATCTCTTTCTTCTTACTCTAAAAAGACACTTCTAATACTTAGGCTAAATAAATTATTGATGAATTAGAGGATTTTATGAAGAAATTTCAAACTAGATTATAAGAGGTTACTCAAGGATAAATTACTCCTCAAGTACAATTAAGTAAAGAATTAATGGGGAATTTTGAATACAATTATCCATAAGTACAATAATCATTTTTTGATGATCCAAATATCTTAAGAGATGTTTCTATGATTGATTAAAGTTTTTTAAAGGATATAGATGATAAACCTCCTCATAATGAATTTTTGACACATAATTTATTAAATCCTCAACCTTTATATCAATCTCAATCTGCTCTCTAATCATAACCTTCATCTAACAATATTTCATAAAATGCTATTAGTCCAAATTATGAAAAGAAATCATCATAAAATGAAACATTAATATCTCCAAAATTAAGAAGACAATCATCAATGTCTCCAAAAAGACCTACAAAAAAGAAATTTAATACTAAGGTAGAATCCATTTTATTAAATTGTAATGGAGATACTTTAGATCTCTCATAATAAGGTAATATATTTATTATATATAATATATATATAGATTTAGGAGATGATGGAATGATTCTATTAGAAGAATCTATTAGAAATAAAAAGGTAAAGATTATAAAATTAATGCGTAACAAAATTAGTGATACTGGAGCATGTAAATTATTAGAATTACATTGTTAAATATTACATTTATAATCTAATGTGATTACAGAAAGGTTTTTAGATTCAATCTAGTAATTAATATAAAAATAGACCTAAATTCATATTAAAACTATCTATTTAGGATAAAATTTAATGAATTTATTTAGAGTAAAGAAAAAAATAGAGGATTTAAAGAAGTTAGGCATAACTATTTAAATATGATTAATGATCAGTGTGTTATGCTTTTTGTGTTATGAAATGTGCCTCTTAATTAAGATAATAATTCTTATTCATTTTCACACATTAATTCCATTTCTACTCCTTACATTTACTTTTCTAATTTAATTATTTTCTATAATAAATGAATTGATTATTCTTCCATATGCAATTTATCTTTAGTCAATTTACTTATTTCCTTATTTAATCTATAAGATTCTGTAGAATAAGCAACATAATCTTCCTTCAATTATCTTTCTTTTATTTAAACTGCTTCATTGAATTAATTTTCTAATTTTTATATATTCCTCTCAGTTTATTCTTTCATTTAATCCATCTCATCCTTAATTTGTTTAGATTATTCTTTCAATTAAGCCAAAGTACGTTTACTATCTGAAATATAATTCTATTATATTGATTATTATATCCTTACTTATATTAATTGTTATGAATGAGTGAACACTTCTAAAAAATGAATTTATGCATTAGTATTTTAAAAATCATCAACATTAAAAGGATACTTGAAACCAAATGATGTTATTTAATCTGTTTTTTCCATAAAATTTTCAAAAAATGGACGAGTATCACTTTAACTTTTTGTATAGCCTGTAAAATTTTTATTAGTCCTTCCCAATTTATGTTCGAGAGTCTGAAGTTTCATAGCACTTCGATTGGTGGGTAAGGTAGCTTAAAAGTATTTTATTCAAATATACTTTAAGGTGGTTATTTAAAGTATAACAGTTATCTGATTCTAATTTCAGAATGAGCATTGTTATTATCTGAATACATTAAATATTTATATTATTTAAAAAAAAATATAGGCAAACCGAGTATCGATCTCGGGACCTCTGCAGTGTAAATGCAGCGCGATAACCATCTACGCCATTTGCCTAAACTCAATAAATAATTAGATTCATTTCATAAATATATCATCTCTCCAATAACCAATTATTTCTTATTAACCATAATAAAAGATTCCAGTTCCATTAGCTAAACCATTGATAAATGTACCAATGAATCTACATCCATTTTTAAATTTTAATTCTCCTTTTCCATTTCTCTTCCCATTAGCTACACGACCAATAAAATGACACCAAGTTGAAAGATCATAATGTGTACATTCAAATGGAGCTTCTGGATTAAGAATTTCTACTTTTTCCCCATCATTAATTACTTTTTATTAATTCTAATTAGTTTATTTTTGAAATGCATGATTATACAATTTTAATTCTATATTTTCAATCTATATCTTATATTCTTCATTTAATTTTAAAACAAAACAATATAATTATTAACAATTAGGTCTTTATACATCTTATTCTATTAATGTTTAATCTAAAAATCTATTTAAATATTCAGGTAAATTTAATTCTTTGATTTTAATTTATAATTCTTTAAAATCAAATTATTTTTATTTAAAGAAATTTTTAGGTTCTTTTAATCCTAAACAATATAGACATACTAATCCTAATGCAAATACATCTGATTTAAAATATTCTATTTATTCATGTTAATAATAATTTGTTGGACTTTAATAATATTTCATATATAAAGGTCTAAATAAGAATGAATCAGCTATTTTATATACATATTTCTATTAAAGTGTATAAACTCTAAAGATTCCATTAGGATTTAATGCACAATAATGCATTTTAAGATCTTATAAGAGTGAGAGTATTTTAGTTATATGATTAATTAATTTCCATACTTCCAAATGTTCAAAATTATCTATTTATGAAATTGGTTCTGGATAATCAAAATAAACATGTAAATCATCATTTTTAATTTACCAATGATGAATGTTTAAACTATTTGCATGTTAAGTCTTTTTCTTTAATTGTTCTATGACTTTTTCATCTCTAAATGTAAGTATTCCATGAATAATTTTAAATTTATTATCAATTCGATTAGTTAAGACATCCATTTCTTTAAATCTGAAATTCTCATTATCAAAATTACTTGTTTTATTAAAATCCATTAAAAAATGTGAAGAATTATCGCATAATGCACCCATTCAAAGAGGAGATTAATGTATAGGGAATATAAAAATAAATAAATATTAACAATATTATTATTAAAGAAAATGTATGATGTTTAAAGTTTTAATTAGTTAGTAATATAAATTAAAGAATGAAAAATTAAACCAATTAATCAGAGATTTGTCAATATTGTAATTTAAGTGACTGTGAATGTTCAGACCAAGAAGATTGGGATAGTTGTGATTCACCTAAACCAAAAACTCTCTATTCTTTTAAAGAAATCAATCTACAAAATAAATCATTATTAGCTGAAATCAGAATCATTTGCAAAAATTTGATTTATGTGATTGGTTTAGCACCTAATATAGCTAAAGAAGATGTAATCTCATATCTATATTTAAGCAATTAAAAAAACTTGAATATTTTGGTTAATATGGATAAATCTAAAAATTAATTGTGATCCAAAGTAATACATTCAATCCCCCATCTCATGCTGCTTATATAACTTATCGAAATGAATAAGAAGCATCTTTAGCAATCTTAGTAAAAATTATTAATATTTATTTGTTTTGGCATGTGAAAAATTTCCCTTACACGATAGATAAGTTAAAGCATCCTTTGGAACCACCAAATATTGCACAAACTTCTTAAAGGGTTAACAATGCAAAATTAAGGATTGTGTATACTTGCATCAACACCCTAAAGATAAAGACTCTACATAAGTGTTAAAAAAAGTATGTACATTTAATAATAATTAGGAAGAAATGAATAACTCTAAATGGTTATTTTCTTATTCATAAAAATTAGCTTAAACTAATTTCAAAAAGTTTTATACAAAAATCAATTACAAAAATGCCTTGCAAAAATCAATATTTCCAACCACATAAAATATATTGGATAATATGATAAAAGAAAGAATTGTTGAACCTATTTAATAATAATTGAATATATAATTAGAAGAAATTAAAGAAACTCAATAATTATAAGAAATATAATAACCTATATTATAAAAACCAATTGATATTGAAAAAAGAGTTGAAGCTGTCATCCTTTAAAGTAGTTCTATTTATTATTTATAGTGGATGGAGATAGCAATAGCAATTCGAGATTCAAATTTACAAATAGTAAAAATGTCCCATAAGATTATGAGGCAATATAATAAATAAAATAATATCTACAAAAATGATTAATGAAATAAAAATAAATCCATTTTTAATAATCTGTAAATCATCTGATTTAACTTATTTATCAATACAACATTTAATGTATACTTTTTGCTTGACTTCTAACATTTGTTGTTAAAATGTGATCAGGTGGTATCAGAACCAACACCTATCTCAAAGATTAAATCTTCATTTATGATTTGTAAACCCAAATAATACTCAAAATTATATAGAATAAAAATAAACTAATTAATATATTATTTATACCATGTTCCTACACCATAATAATACACTTGAACAACACTTATAATTCCTTCTGCTATAGCAAGATTATCCTCTTAAAATAATACCAAAAATTATCTCATGATTGTCTAAATATCAGTGAAGTACTATAGTATAAAATTTTAAAAGGATTATTATTAAATAACTACCTTATTTGTCTCATTTACATTATATTTTAAATTCTAAATTTCATAATCAAATTCTTAATTTATAAATTTTATTAATCCTGCAGTGTAACCTAATGCTCCATTACTTATTATACTTTTGTAATTATCTTTTCTATACAATAATATATTATAAAATTACTAATCATATTATAATTTAATTGTTGACAAATCACAAATAGGCATAGCATCAACTGTTGATGAAAGACATAAATCATAATTAAGTATTGTATCAAACCGGCTTTTTACATTATTTGCATTAGCATTCTCTAAAATTACCTAAGCTACTTCATTAATTAAAGGTGACAAATTATCTCTATATTAAATTAAAAGTTAACAAGCTTTAGTTTAATTTAAATATTCAAGATTAAGATTTGGAATAATTGGTTCTGTTTTAATTATACCACCCAATAGAGTTAAAGAATCCATGTTATGTCTTACCTACACAAATTTCAATGTGACTGTTAGGGATGGTTAAAAATTATCATTTTTTGCCATATGTAATAAGAATCCTGCCATTAGATATACAGTAAGAAGTATTGTAATAATAAAAGTAATGAAAGCATTAATTCTATTTAAATAATATGTTCTTTATATTCGAGAATATAAAGCACTTGTTGCTTTGATATTATTTTGACCTGTCTCAACACTTGATTTCAAAATTACTTTTTTGGCTTTTTTTTCAGAAAAACCATACATTATATCACCAAAATTAAAAAGTTTCCAATTTCCATTTATTTAATTATCCAATTATTCCTTAATTAAGGATAATCGATTCATTTAATCCAATGCTTAATTTTCATTTAGTCTAGAAATTAAAAATAATATTGACTTTACAATATGATCAATAAATAACCAATATTTTAATTGTATTCCTATTATTAAAAATATGCTAAACATTTCACCAAACATAACTGATAAAAAATAAGACTTAACTTAAGTTTACTTATCAATTGTATTTTCAATTATAACTTCAATTAATTGATTATGAAAGTCCAACATATCTAATAAATTTAGTCTAACCACACCTTAAGGCATTAATTATGGAAAATCAATACTCCCATTATTTATAAATTTTCTGTAAGAAGTCTCTGTATTTTAGTATAATATTGAATAAAATTCTTCCAAAGGATACTCTATTGTAACAATGGAGTTTTCTTAATAAAATTTTGTTTGCATAGTCGTCTATAGATTTTACTCCATTGATAATCTAGGTACAATGATTGCTAAATTTACTTATGTAGTTCTAGCATAATCATACATTCCTTGTAATGTATCTAGATTTCTTTAGAACATAAAAGGACTGAGTGTTATTAATTTATTTTTTATCAATATTAAGTACAATTCCTGCAATATTTCAGAGGTATAAAAATAATTGATATTTTAAGGCTGTCTTAGTGTTGCAAGTTGATTAGTTTAAGATATTAGATTTTCAGAAATAAATTAAACATTAATAATATTACTAATAAGAATACCTGAACATATTATAAACAATAAAACTGCAATTTTTTTTAAGGGAGTAATAAGTTAGGTATTATGATAAAGCTATTATACAATTAATAAAGATTCTTTTGAAGTAGAATTTGTTGATGTTCTTGAAGGATTAGAAGCAAAATCATTTTCTTTGTTTTTTATTTATTTTGTTTGAAACTTCAAAAGAATATTTGAGCTTTTTTTTTTTTAGCTTTAACTTACAGATTAAACCTTTTTTTCGCCTTCATCCTATTCATCTTCTATTTAATCTTACTTTATTTCTTTTATTACCTATATGGATATATATAATATACTTGCATATCTAATTCAATTTGTTCTACTTCTTCATTTATATCGATTTCTAAAATTTTAGGTCTAGCAAATAATGGTTATCTACTTGAATCAAATAGATTTGACCTATCTGATTATTTTAATTAAAATTTAAAACTATTATCAGCAACAGCAGAACTCTCATTAAGTTTTAAATTGTTATTCATTTACTTTATTTCTTAAATAGCATGATATTAAGAGTCATCAGGATTTTCACTTCTAATATCTTAAAAAAATGAATTAGGACTTTTTGTATTGCTAATAGAAAATTCTTACGATGGTATTAGAGTTTAATAAAGTGATTGTTAAGTTCTAGAAGTTTATTAATTATTAATTGTTTAATTTGCAATAGTTTTGAAATCTTTAATTGTTAACATAAAATAACCATAATTTCCTCTTTTGAAATTCAATGTCTTAAATTAAAGACTATAAAAGACTCCTGTCTATGGTATTTTAGATAAGGAGTCAGTAATTTCAACTAGTTTTGATATTTGTTGTTCCACTTCAGGATGTAATATTAGAATAGGAATACCATTGATGGATATATTGGATTTTAATTCTGATGGCATTTCAGAATCATCATATTACATATCAAATTATGTGTTTATAGTGTTGTAAGAATATTTTGAATATGTTTAGGATTTGTAGGATCTAAAATTTTATTAAGATCCATAACTTCTTTTTTTGAATTAAGAAAATATTAATTAAGAATTTTATAAACATTCTAAATGATTATTTGGTATAATCCAAAATGATTTGAGATTATTCATCAAATAATTAGAAGATGATACTATTTATTGTCTTAACTCTTAAACTTAATTAGCTATTCCAGGAATATAGAATTAAATTAATGGACTTTTGTTTAAGAATTCTTTAACAGTTATTTTTAATACATTCTAATCTTTAGTTGTTTGATGTGATAAATTCATTTTGACATTATTTTACAATACTTCTTCATAAAAATATTTTGTAAATCCTAATATTTTACCATCAATACCAAATAAAATGATTTCATTATTTGATTATTATTTTGTAATAATCATATTTAGAATAAAATCATCTTTATCATCAAAAAAGTTGAATAAATTCAAACTACATTATTCTATATATCCTGTAATATTTTAACAAAAGGTTGCTTCACCATTTATCATAAGTTTTGAATATCCTCTTTATAAATAATTATCCATTAATTTTTCATGAATTGATGAAATGAAATTTGGCATTAATTAATTGCAATGTTTAATACTTTTAAGACTATCTTCATTTTCATTTAAGAATAAAGCCAATTATCTAACATTTAAGTTTAGTAGTTCTCCTCTCTTTCTTACAAGACTAGATTTCAAAATTATTAATCTATCTATTAAATTATATATAATATTTAAATACTTTGTATCAATTACATATTATCTAAGGTTTCATCTTGTTTATATCTTTCATTTTTTATAAGTTCTTCAATTGATTTTTCTATTTAATATGCTTAAAATGCATTAGAATATATTCCTGAATAATAAATTTAAATAATTCTTAATGTCAATATATCTGATTATTGTTAACTTTTTAATTTATTATTAATCATATCAAATCTCTGTTCTATTTCTTTTTTACATTATAACATCTTTTGAGTTGTTTTGAGTGACTCAAGTAAATAATGATCAATATCTTAATATCCATTAATTAATTTACTCCAAAAGTTAATTTTACTTTGAATAGTTTCTATTAATATAGGAAATAATATATTTGATGAATGACTAGTCATATAAGCAGATTGAACATTCAAAGATGATTAATGTTCATTAGTACTACGAATTGTATTTTTATGAATGGCTTCTCTTTAATATTATTTGGCTCTTTAATACAATTCAAGAGAAAGATTATTAAAAGATTATTTAAAGTAAATGTTATCAGCTTATTATAATATCAATTTTATTAATGCTTTAAGTGGAGCATGATTAGAAATATAATTACAATAAACTAGAACATTAATAAGCTATTTATTTTATGAATTAGTCATTTTTCTTAAAAGACATTCAGGTATAGAATGTGAAGACTTACATTTTAAACAAATATGATTTATTTATAAAATTGAGAGAATTAACTTTGATCTTTTATCACCTTATTAATTATAGTATTCTATATTCTAAATAAAAAAATAAATATACTTAAATAGTTGTAAAATTATTTTAAATTTTACATGTTAAGTAATATTAACTAAAATATTATTAGATTTAAAACAACAAACTAATCATTAGTGTAAAAATAAGAAATAATTCATATATACTCAATTATAAGTTAATAGATGTATTTATAATAGCAAAGATAATTTCTAATATTAAATATCCTTAATAATTATTCTTCCTTATATTAACTAATATAAAAATCATATTGTTTATTAAAGTAAATGCAAACCTTAACTCTTAAAGTTAATCAATAACCTTGAAAATAAGAATGAGTAATTATAACACTTAATATATTGCATTTATTATTATAGTTTAATCTAAAGTTTATATGGAATTATCCTCCATTAGTTTTTCACATCTTCCAAAATATAACAATATTCCTCCTATTGATAAAGATGCTAGAAAATTTATTATACTTAAGATTATCAATATAATATAACCATAATTAGAACATATTGTGCTACTATTGCAAATATTAACATTATAAATGAATATCAGTGACATGTAGATATTGGGCATAGCTAAGACTTAATGATAATAAAAAAGGAATTGTTGAAGGATTATTGAGATTATACTTGATGGGTTTTATTTAAATAGGAGAATGGCAAGCAATCCAACAGTTAAGCAATGCAAAATGAACATAAGCATAATTAAAAGGATTAGTTAAGTGTTTGTTATAGATGTAACCACAAAACAATAATTTATTAGTGAAATCAAAGGACTTTGGGATAACGGAAATAATTTACCTAAAGTTTGAAATTGATTTAAAATGGGAATCATTTGCTATTGCTATTTCTTATGATTTCTTAATAGAGTATATTGCAAAGAATACCTATAGTTTTGATATTCACTAATAATACATGAAGGATGTTAAAATTATATCTTGGATGTGTTAGAAGATGAAATTATTTAAGCAATTTTTCCATAAAATTATAATCTTATAAAATATTTATAATTCATTAAAATTGAAATCTTACTTAAATGAATATGTAAAATATATTATAAACTAAAACTAAATGATAATTATAATTGAAGTCATAATTTAATGAAAAATTTCTCTGACTTTTTATCTGAAAATTTACAATAAGGTAACATATTGAAACCAAAACCTGATTTTTCAAAGTACCATTTTTGGGGATTGTACTTTTCTGCAAGTTGGTGTCCTCCTTGTAGATAATTCACAGGAATGTTAAAAAATTTCTATGAAGAAATAAAAAAGACATAGAATTTTGAAATTATTTTAGTTACTCATGATGAAAATGAAAGAGATTTTATTAAATATTATTAGAAAATGCCATGGCTAGCAATTCCATGGTCTGAAAATATTTCCATAAATTAATTAACTAGAATATGCAAACCTTAAACAATACCACATTTATGTATTTTTGATTAAGATGGGAATTATGTTACATGTGGAGCTAGAGATGATATTGCTATGTATGGAATGAAGGCTTGGAATCATTGGGAAGACATTGCCGAAGAAAGAAAAAAATATAGATAAAAATGATTAATTTTGATAATTAAAATTGCAGATTTATATGAAATGTAAAATTAATTTCTATTGTATAAATTTTATAACATACTAAAATAAATATAACAAATTATGATGCGTATTAAATTTAATATTTAAGTTATCTTATATTAAAATGTCGCAATCTCCCCATAAATGGCATCAAGAAACTATTGATTCTCAAAAATCAAAAATGGAAAAAACTGTTCCCATTTGCCCTCTTCCATAAGATGTTGCAACTCTCACTTTACCTAATGGCAAAACTGTTCAACTACCAGTTTATAAAGGGACTAAAGGTCCTCCAATGATTGATATCACATAATTATACTCGAAAACAGGATATTTTACTTTAGATCCTGGATTCTCATCAACTGGAGCGTATAAAATTAATAATAATATTAATTTAGATGTATGTCAACCATGACCTATATAGATGGTGATAAAGGAGAATTATTATATAGAGGTTATCCAATAGAGACTTTAGCAAAATATTCATCTTATATAGAAGTGTGTTATTTATTCATTTATGGTCATCTTCCATCTTAAAAGGAATTATAACTATTTGAAGAGACTATGGTGAGTGAAATGATGATAAATGAAAAACTAATTGAATTTTATAAAGGTTTTGCATCTGATAGTCATCCTATGGCAATTATGGTTGGTGTGGTAGGTGCATTGAGTGCATTTATGCACAAAGATTTTGATGTCAATGATCCAAGAGATAGAGAGTATATAGCCATTAAATTAGTAGCCAAGATGCCAACTTTAGCAGCATATGCATATAGAACAGCTTTGGGTTTACCTATAATTTATCCAAACAAAAAGTATTCTTTCATTGAGAATTTCTTATATATGGTAATTATATACAATAAAATATAAGATGTTCTCAACTCCTATGAATGATTTTACTGTTGATAAAGTGATTGTTAAAGCATTAGATACTATATTTATGTTGCATGCAGATCATGAATAAAATGCATCTACTTCCACTGTAAGAATAGCTGGATCTTCATTGGCAAATCCATTTGCATGTATTGCTGCTGGAATTACAGCTTTATGGGGACCATATCATGGAGGTGCTAATGAAGCAGTATTGAATATGCTGAAGGAAATAGGAAATAAGGAAAATATACCTAAATATCTTCAGAAAGCTAAATCTAAAGACAATTCATTTAGATTGATGGGATTTGGACACAGAGTTTATAAGAATTATGATCCTAGAGCAAAAGTAATGTAGGAAATGTGTTACAATGTTTTAGAAAAGACTAAAAGAGCAAATGATATTTTAGAGGTATTAATTAATCTATTAATAATTTATAGTTAGCAATTTAATTAGAATAAACAGCTTTGAAAGATGATTATTTCATTTAAAGAAAATTGTATCCAAATGTTGATTTTTACACAGGAATTGTTTATGAAGCCTTGAGTATTCCAACATCAATGTTTACAGTTATGTTTGCAGTTTAAAGAAGTATTGGTTGGATTTGCTAATGGATGGAGATGATGTCAGAGAAAGTGTAAAGAATTAGTAGACCAAGATAATTATATGTTGGAGAAGATTAGAGAGAATATATTCCTATTAAGGATAGAAAAGAAGAAGAAAAGAGTAGAGTGTGTAAATTACCTATGCATAGTAGCCTATTTGGACTTGTAAAAGTGTGATCAGATTTATATGAGAATCAATTTATAATATAAATTTATTATTCTCTAAAAATCAAAGAGAAACTATTCATCTACAATATGTATCATTAGATTTAATTAATAAATAAGCCTTAATAAATATAATTAACATATAAAAATGATTCAATTTACAGGTTTTATCTATTATAATTAAATAGAAGCATACTCTAAAATGAAGTCCAATTAATGAAAATACAAAGCATTTCAAGTCTTAAATCAAATAAAAGAAAACTCTTAAGCCATCTGGATCTTAACTGCTTTATACATCATGAATTGATCCAAGTTTTGATGTAGTAAATGAAATGTGAGCATTTCCCAATTTAATTTCTAATTCTTATCTTCCAATTTTATCTGGGGCTGGCCATTTTGAATCGTTCTCTCTTCAATTATATTGAATTTATACTTTATAATTTCTGATTCTTCAATTATTCTCTTGAACTCAGAAATCACTGATTCTGAAACAAAACATTCCTTTCTAATTAATACATCTTATTTATAGTTAGAATTATTTGCATATCTCAATCTTCCATCACTCCTAAATTCAAATTCAAGAAATTCATGTCCATAAACACCTTTATGTCCAACACTATTTTATACATCTTATAAAATTACTAATATCTAAGATAAAACTCATCATTTTAATTTGTTTGCATTTCTAATAATTTAATTAAATTGTGATTATTAAATAAAATCAAAATATTATTAAATATAAAATCATATTAGATACTAATCAAATAACCCATTTATACTTTTAAAATGATATATTTTTTCATTTAAAATTTTTGAATCATATCATTTAGTAATACTTTAAGTTTTATACAAATTTAATATATTAACTCTAAAAAGATTCAAATATCATTTTAGAATTAATATATAAATATGAGATAATTAATTGTTAATCTAAATTTGGATAAATTCAAATATCTTTTACTCTTAATTTTTACTCTTAGTTATTTTTTCATTTTTCATTTTTTTAAGAAAGTTTAGTTATAATAATTTTTTTAAAGATTCAATACCTATTTGTTATACAAAATTAGAAATTTGACAATATAAATATAAAATGTAGCCATATAATATTTTATGGCAATAAGATGGAGATGAAAAAATAAAATAAATTCCTATGAATATTTTGAACATTAATTATTTCAGATGTATTTTTTTATAGATATCATTCTTAACCTATGTCTGCACCAAAAGAATCATTTTCTTCATCTTAATCTACTTTCTATTAGACTTTTTCTTTTTTTGCATTTGATTTATTGGTTTTTGCTTGATTCTTGCCGTTGATTTGCTTGCCTGTTTATGTGCAATAGAGTTCATTTTCTTATGAGTAACGACTTCTGTCTTTTAAGGCTTAATCATGATATGACTATGGATTAAAAAATAGTTTAAGTACCTACTAAATTTCTTTTGGTAAATCTTTCCATTCACTAGCAATTAATTTGGTGATTTCTTAAAATTATAGATCTAGTATAGCATTAAAAAAGACTTGGATATTGTTATTAAAATTTCTCTCTTTTGTCTTAAAAATAAAAGATGAATGCTGATTTAGGCATCTTGGGAGCCAATGGATCTTTTTGTTTTTTTTGTTTTTTTTGTTTTGTGACTTATTGCTTTGGTTATTCCTCTGGTTCTGGTGTTGGTGCTAAATAGGATTCAACTAAAGCTTTAAATCGTATTAGAAAATTTTCAAACTTGCTTTGTTCTTTTTTCTATTTATGATATTATCATAATTACATCTTACATCTCTGAATCAAGATTTTAGATTAATAATATATATAAATATTTAACATATTTCCTATCAGACCTAAACTATATATTAAAAAATAAGTAATATCATTTGTTACATTCATTGAAAATAGGAATCAGACCATAAATCATTAAGAAAGATGCGACAATTTCTATCAGTAAACCACTTTTCCTTCTCTAAACTAGATTTCATTATTTCTGTATCCATCATTTTCTTCAATCTCCAATCTCTCTTTCTTGATTTATTTATAATAGTCTAATTTTTTGGACTCTAATAAAATGTCTTTAGATGATATTCTTTTGGAATAGGTTTAAAAATGATTAACCCATTTTTCTTCTTTAAAACTTTTTTATCAGGAATAAGCGGCGGTTATTGATAATTATCAATTTGAGGCATATTAAATTAAAAAGTTTTAGTTATCTATGTGTTTTCAAATAGATCACATCCAACACCTTTATCTTCAAATTTTTTATCAGCTTAAGAGTGAAATCTGACTTGAGGAGATGTAGTTGAGATTTTTCTATTTCTTATTTTAGCAGGTGTAGTACCACCTAATAGAAATGATTCATGATTAGAGGTATCCATTCTTCTTGGAGTTCTCTTCTATAAAGGACATTACATGATAATTAAATCCATAGTATTGACCTATTTATAACAAATTTAATATATATATATATTTATGATCAATATTATAATCAAAGAACTGTATTTCCAATTTCGAATACTTTTTTTAAACCACATAGATTATCATTTTTAATGAATTGTCTTTCTATTTTATGTTTTTATAAATAGGAATCACAATTCTTTAATTATTTTGCTAATGACATTCTTCTACTGACAAAATATCTGTAGATCATATTTATAAATAAGTTCTTACTTTTATTATCTATTTAATTGAGCTTTACTAGTATTTTATGTATTCAAATTAGATTTAAATTAAATCATTCTAGAGGATGATTCAGTGCTGATACTAATTGATCTTGCTAAGATGAGATGTAAATTAGAATATTTAGATGGATTATAAGTAGGTTTTTTTGCATTTTATTATCTCAATAGTAAACTTAACTTAATTAAATTCTCATTTAAGTCTTGATCCATATTTATTTTGTATAAAAATATTTATTTTGTGTTAATGAATTATAAAATCATTTTAAATTTTCTTTCTATCCTTACATTTTCTACATCAATAGATGTAAATTACTAATACTTAATTATGAACGATTTGTTGATTTTGGTTAAAGTATACCTTCACCAACTAAATTTTTAAGATCCATACTTTTATTCTTAATTAATGATGAATTTTTCTTTTTTGTATTTTAAATAACTAATTTTTGTTGTTTTATGAGCATATTTTAACTGTTATCACGAGAATGTCTAGGAGAATTACCAATAGATATAAATTAAGGAGATTTATCTCCAGCTAATAATTTATCAAGTGGAGATCTTGCTGAATGTATTTATTTTTGAATTTCTATATCCTTTTTATCTTTAATTATAGATGTCTCACTCAAACTTTAACATTATTCAATTGCTGATTCTTCATCTATTTATGTTAATTGTCTTGGTTCTGCTATACTCTTTTCATCAAGTACAATTTATTTATTATAAGCACTCCAAATGTCATCGATTATTACATTGACAATCATTTACAAATTAGCTTTAAAAATATTTGAATTCAATTTGTAATGTTCTGCTAATTTAAAATCTTTTAAGGGAATCTCTTTTTATATTGCTAATTTCAACAATTCCTATAATGTTAAGTTTAACTCACTTAGATCGTGTATGTATGTTCTTATTGGAAAATCTCTTTAAATAAAACATATATTTTTTCTACGAAATTAGATGCTAATCTGTTGAAGATATTATCTATCTCTAGAAATTTCTAACTTTCCCTCTGTATCCTCAAGAAATCCAATTCTTACATAAATTTAAGATCGTTAAAAAATATATATATATATATTAATAACAACAATTATAAATATTTAAATTAATTCAATTGAATAAAGAACTAAATATACAAATAAGTAAATTAGAATAATTTAGCATAAATAATATATATATATATATATATATATTCTTTATCAGATTATAGGTAAATTTTAAGCTGGCAAACTCTAATTACGATTATTTCGTTTCTAATTTGGAGAATGTTCTAATAATATAGGTAATTAACTGATCCTTCTCTATTACAAATAAGGATTTTCCTCTTGAGATAGTCTTCTATAACGTTATTTTAATTATTGATAAATAGGCACTTCCTTCTAATATTCAAGTAGAATCTTAGCTATCACATTCCTATCAGAATAATTATGTGCCTTTTTATGTTTTGCAGAATAATTTATTGAATACTATTATTCTTTAATTAATATATAAATACTTAAAAGCATTTCCTATTCTGCCAAATATTATGAAATTCTAGTAGGATTAGGAGAAGATTATTATGAACCAGCTCCTAGAGTTGCTTATCTATGTCTATTTATAGTTTCTTGAGTGTCACTATTTTAATGAGTCTCAGTTTTATATTTCTAATTACTATAATTGGCTTTGGGTAACATATTTCCTATTGAAATTTAATTTTTTGGGAATATAATAGTATTTAGTAATTTGCTTTGATCTTCAATTGCTTAAGTTTTAAATCTATTAAAATAAGGAAGTTCTGTTAAAGCATAAGATGTTGGTCTTAAATTAGTTTGGACTTAAAGCATCATCCTTATAACATTTTATAAATCTTATGAATATTAAGATGGAAGTCTTGGATATAGACCTATATGATATATTAAACTTAAAATTACCTTTAATAACTTTCTTATAGAGTCCTTCCATATCTTCTGCTCTAAATGGAGGCTTGAGAGCAGCCATTTCATAAGTTACACATCCCAACGACCAGATATCAGATTTTTAATCATAAGGTTGATCCTTCCATACTTCAGGACTTGCATAATAAGGTGTTCCTGTTTATGTATAAAGCAATCCTTTTTTTGCAACTTTTGAAACATTCATATCTCCGAGTTTTACATCACCATTTGATTACAAAAAAACATTTGCACTTTTTAAGTCTCTATGGAATATTTTTAAATCATGCAATGCTTTTAAACCACTAGCAATTTGAAATGTAATTTTCATAATGTCATTTTCAGCCATAAAAGTATTTGTTTTTATACATTTCTATATTTATTAGAACAAGTCTCCATTATCTGCAAGTTCCATAACAATACTGTTATATTATTATCAAATATTATTACCATAATGAATTGCTATTAACATCAATGAAGGCTTCTTTATAGCTAATAATAAATGGGTTTTTAATAGATGCCAATATTCTAACTTCATTTAAAGCATTTTATTTCTCCTTATCACTCAAATTTGTAAGGTTCACCTTTTTCAAAGCATATTCTACATTGTCTTCAATTCTCTTTACTTTATATACTGTTGAATATGCTCCCTCACCTATTATAGATATATTAGATATGTAAACCTAATTTTGACATAATCTTGAAATCTTTAAGTGACATTTTATAATTATATAATATATATATTATATTAATCATTATGCTTTCTTTCCACTTTTTCCTTTTTATGCACTTCCTTTTTTAGTTGAGTTCTTAACTGCACTCTTCTTAACAGATTTCTAAGTGCTTTTTTATGTACTCTTTTAAGTAGATTTTTTTGCAGAATCCTTCTTTGCAGATGCCACTGGAGTCTTTGGTGCAGCTACTGTAACATCAACTTTTGCAGGTGAAGCAGCTTGAACTTATTTTTTAATATTTTTAGTAGCTGATCCACTTTCTAATAAATTAGTTATCAATCAATTACTTTTTCCTGATTTGCTTTAACTTCTGCTTTTTGCTCCTTTTGCCATTTTATTATTTATTATCAACTTTCAAATTGAATTCTGCTAAATATCAAATTTACAATTATAAATTAATTTAATTGGCTATTTCTTCAAAATAATGAATATTAAAATCAATTACATATTTTAATCCATTCATTGATATTTACAATTTTGGATAATTTCTATTTCTATTATTCCATTCAAGATTTTCAATATTCATAAATCTTTTTTCATTTTTAACTAGAAAACTAACAAATTTATTCTTCAATATTTTTAATTCTTATTTATATATACATATACTAAAAATTACATTTGAAATTTTCTATTTATTTTGCTTAATCAATTTATTTGAAAGATCTCAATACACCTAAGAATTATTAGTTGATTTTAATTAAATTTATTCCTTATTATGGGTTCATAATGTTGTAATGGATAAACTAGATCTCTTAATAATGAGATAGTCAATGACAGTATCAAAAATAGTTCTTTGTTTAAATAATCAATTCACAGTCTTCCATTCACAAATCAAATGTAATGCAATAATGATGAAATATTGGAGTTAAAAAAAGAAAATTGCATGGGACTTCCACTTATAAGTGAAAATGCAAGTTAAATTGATAAGGAAAAATAACAATTTGCACTCTCATAATTGACTGTTACTCAAGATCCTAAATCAAACAATAATTTAGGGAATTCTTCAGATCAATAAATTCAAGAAGGTTATTGTTCAAATCAATCTCAATCTACTCCTATTAAAAGAAAGACTGTAACTTCTATTGGCACTTTCAAATTGGGAGCAGATGTTTTTGTCAATTTAAAATAAGGTAGTATTGGAAAATTTTATTCAACTGGATCAACCTTAGGAGCAGGTGCTTATGGAAAAGTATGGAAAGTAACACATAAAACAACAGGTATATACTTTAATTCATAATTATAATAGGATTAATAAGAGCTATGAAATAGATCAAGAAGTCTTCGTTAATTCATGAAGAATAATAAAGGTTGTTTGCTGAAATGAATATACTCAAGAATTTAGATCATCCACATATTGTTAAACTCTATGAATTATATTAAGATTCTTAGAATTACTATTTAATTACAGAGTATTTGAGTGGAGGTGAACTATTTGAAAGAATAAAAGCTATGACTATTTTCAATGAAAAAAAAGCAGCTGAGTATATGAGATAAATTCTCTCTGCTGTAATGTATTGCCATGAATAGAAGATTGTTCATAGAGATTTAAAACCTGAAAATATATTATTGGTTAATGATTCCTCAAATTCACCTTTAAAAATTATTGATTTTGGAACTTCTAGAAAATACGACCCTTCTAAAAAAATGACAAAGAAACTTGGAACTGTAAGAATTAATTTGATAATATTATTTTAGCCTTATTATATTGCTCCAGAAGTATTAAAGTAGGATTATAATGAAAAATGTGATATTTGGTCATGTGGAGTGATTCTATACATTTTATTATGTGGATATCCTCCATTCACAGGAAAATCAGAAAAAGAAATTATGAAAAAGGTAGGAGAAGGTAAATTTGAATATGATGGTAATTTCTCATTTTTATATTAAGTGCAGCTGATGATTGGAGTTAAATATCGAAAGAAGCCAAAAATCTAATTAATAGAATGTTGCATGTAAATCCTAATTACAGAATATCAGCTAAGTAGGCATTGAATGATCCTTGGCTATTGAAGAATTGTTCATAAACAATTATCAACAATAATGCCAATCTGAAAGTTCTTTAAAATCTCTAAAAATTTTAAGTACTTTTCAACTATCTAGATAGGCCAAATCAATATTTTCCTAAGCTGTATTATCATACATTGCATTTTAAATGACTAATCAATTAGAATAAGATGAATTATTAAAAACATTCCAAAGTCTTGATAAAAATAATGATGGAATATTATCTAAGGAGGAATTGATTGAAGGATACAATATTATTTATTAAGATAAAGAGAAAGCAGAGTAAGAAGTTATTAAGATATTATAATTGATAGATTTAAATCAAAGTGGTTAAGTTGATTTTTCAGGTATTATAATAAAATTTTTATATTTAGAATTTTTGATGGCAGCTATGAATTAAGAAAAGTTAGTTTCTTTATAGAAGGTCAAGGCAGCATTTAAAGTGTTTGATGCAAATGATGATGGCAAGATCTCTAAATAAGAATTAGAATTAATGATAGGAACTTTGGATTAAGAATTATGGGAATAAATTCTTGAAGAATGCGATGCTCAAGAATATATAACAGAAAAATAATTTATTAATATCTTACTTAATTAAAAAATTTGATATTTATTAATGAATTTGTTATCTTAATTCAAGAACTGTAAAATAAATGATAATCTCTAATAGCATAGAATTCTAAATTTAATAAATGAATTACCGCTTCCATCTCCATTTTAAATAACAAATTAAAAAGTTACTGTACCTTTATTATGAGGGAATGATATATCAACAGTAACCAATTAATCTTTATAAGAATTGTTGGAAGAACATAAATTTTAAAGGTTTGTTTGATAATCTACACTTTAATCCCAAATAATAACTTTGTCTGCCAAAATCCTTAGAGATTTAGTTTTAACCCAAGCTTCTAAAAAGTATATAGTTAATTAAAGTCTTAACATTTAGTGACTTTAGGTAAGGGATATACGTTTTTATAAGAAAATATTATATTTGCCTATATTAATTCCTCCAGCAAAACTTTTTGAATCACATGAAGATACTGCGATAGGTGAGTAAGATAATAATTGCCAATTTTTAGGATCTGAAAAAGTAGTAGTAAAAAAATTTGAATTAACTAATTTTTCCACTTGAGTACAAGGAGTAGTCGAACAATCCTCTATGATTGAATATATCTTAAATTAATTAAATCCATATTTATAAATTCCAGAACTATAAGGTATGGATTCAAATTAGATTCTCACAAAATTAGCAGTATGATCAAATGTATATTCAAAATATGAATAATCTTCAATATCATATTATAATGAAGGTGTACAAACACTAGTTGGAGTATCTTAACCAATTTACACAATTTCATCATAATCTTCATCTATCTTTAAATTGATATTCTGTTAAGGACCAGAAGAGTAAGCTTAAAATATAACCTTGATTTTTTCATGATCTTCCAGCACAAAATCTTTGTATAAGAGATTATATAAAGAGAGGTAATTCATATTAGGAAGATAAGTATCAGTCAAAAATGTTTTCTGGATTTACCCAGTAGCATCTGAAGGAATATAACTTCCCCAATCTGTTTGACTTGCAAAGGAATTCTATGTTAAATCACTCTCTATTTCAATTTATGTCTATTTGATTCCTGAGATACAAGTTTAACCCTTTCCTGCCTCACATAAATCACACATAGAATCACAAGCTAAGATATATACATTCATTTCTCTTATTCCAAATGAATCTGTAGGTGATATTAAATCACTCATAAACTAAAAAGTTGTATATTAATTGATGTGATTGATTGTTATATCAACATCATAATATTATTCTGGCATTGTAGTACTACCACATATAGATATCTTCTAATATTATTTTTGAGAATCTAACCAAACAATAGAATTATCAATTTGCAATTAATATTGTGAAGTTTATAATGCATCAAACTTCCAGAACTAAAATGTTATTCTTAATTAATAATGAGGTTCAAGAAATAGCTATCTAGTTAACGTTGTTCCTGTTGAATATTTTCCAAAGGTTGATATTTCTGACAAATATAATTGATTCGTTACAATCACACACATTTTCACTAATCTACTGATTAGTAACTATCCAACCTTCGTTAGAATAGAAACTAAATTCTGTGAAATAGCTCGTCTTTAAAATATACGGTTTGCATTAAGAAGAGTCCATATCAAGGTAGGTACAAAAATAGCATCCTACTGGACAACTGTAAGTATAAATATAAACATCTCTCACTCCCCAATATTTCTATTCTTATATAACTAAATACTTATGAAGATGTTGTTTATAAAGTAGATGTGATTTCTAAAATTAATGATCTTTATATATGCGAGAAAATTATTTCTTAATATAAAAATTGCCCAAAAGAATTTGCTAAATTTGAACTTACAGTCTATTGATCAATGATTTCTCCATTTATTTTTGTTTAAATAGATTCATTTTCCCATGTATTGATTCTAAATTATTATTTGTTAAATATTATACGCCCAAATCTTCAACTTTAATTTTACTGTGTGATGAGGAGATGATATTAATATTAACTTATATATAGAAACTCCAGCTCCAAAAAGGTTATTTCCTCCAAAAATGGTTTAGCCATCTCTAACTTCATATCCTAAACTTCCACCAATTACACTCCAACCTAAAAAATTATTAATAAAATTGAATACCTTATGGTGATGAAAATGTGTTTTCTGTAAAAGCTGAATATGCTAATTACATTGAAGTAATGCCAATTCGACACAACATAAAAAAACAAACGATACTTAACATCCAAAAATGATAAAAAATTGTAAATTAAATTATGAAAACTTTCATTTTTAAAAAGAGAAAATTATAAAAATAGAAAAACCATAATATTTCTATATTTAATAATTAAAATTATATCTTAATTCTAAGATTTTAATATTGTTACAATCAATTTTGTGTTATTTATGATCTTATATATATAAAATTATTAGAAAATTCGTTTATTTTTATCAAAATTATAATTAGAATTAGATAATTAATCATTTAATTTTTATCAATTCCAGTTCACTTAGTTTAATATTAAGATAAGATAAGAAATGATTATAAAATAATAAATGAAAATTAATAAAATTAACTTATACTATTACAAATTCTATCTTTAATATTTTTGATTTATTATACCATTTATAAACATTTAAAATCTTAGATCAATCAAAATATTCATTTTTTCAGTAATTAATATAGCAAATAATTATTACTTCAAATTTATCTTATCTCCTAAAAATAATTACAATATTAATTTTTTAATAATTCTAATATCTTTTCCTTTACTAATAATGATAATTTCTTATAAATTATTTCTATTTTCATATGATTTTTTACTGAATTAAGTAAGAAATTAATCATTTATAATGAAAGGGAAACATTTACAAATTTGTAATATTTTTTAAACTAGAAAACTTTATATTCTATGCAACAATCTCAAATATTTCACAACTTTTCAAACCAAATATTAATGCTATCATTTCTGTGACTTTTTTATTTTACATTTTGATCAAATTTTATTTCATGTTTTAAGAAAAATCATTTTATTAGATACAAAGAACAAATTTAATAGATTAGGATTTCTTTCCTCTTTTTTAAGGATAACATATAGATTTTATTTTTAAATAATTCTCTTGAAATACTGGTATAATGAATATCAATATGAATCCTATATGATTTTTCCTTAAAACAAATTTTATACATTTATGATCTTGCATTTCTTAAAATCTAAAACTTTTTATATATATTTATTTACTTCTTAATCAAAATGATAAATATTGTATTTATTATTCTAGTTATTGAATAATAATTATATTATAATATGGATTTAAAGGTTATCATTTAAAATTGTGTTTTAGTAACTTAAGGCAATTTTTTTATGGTTGTTTAAATTGATGAATTGTAATATACATCAAAAGAAAAGAAGACTTAAAAGTTTAGAAGCGAAGTTCAATTTACAAATGCTCACCCATAATTTAGAAAGAATGTTTTTCAATTTACCAATCTCTCATATGGAGATAGAGTCACTTTAAAAATAGGTTGTTTTAACACCAGATTAACATCTGAACCTTAAGAATAGCGTAAATTACTTGAACATTCTATTCTTTTTGGAACTATGTAATTAGTCCTTACAGTGAAGCTATTAGAAGTGCTTCGTATAGAAGGTTAATTGTAACATGAATCTCTTCTTTATGACCCAGAAGATCAAAGGAAAGAGAAAGGAAGAATTTCAATTTTACTTAGACATCAATCTCATGATCTCAAGGCATAAGTAGAAGATGATGTGGAAAGAATAGAAGAAATTTATTATGATCCATTTGAGAAAGATGAAGCTATAATAAGGAGAAAATTGCAAAGAGTTGAATTAAAACTTACAAGTTTGAATTTGTCAATGGAACCTATTTAAAAGAAACTGAATTTCATAAGAACTGCTCATAAATAAATATCTTTTGATTTGGCAACTCTTAGATAACAGAAGGATCAAATTGAAGAAGAGAATAATTACTTCTAAAAAATTGTAAACTAAAAAAATGATGTTAAAGAATTGCATATTTAGATTGATTTATTATGTAATACTGATTATGGTTAAGATATATTAAAGAAGAAATTAGTTTTATTAATGAATAAATTAGAATTTGAACGCAGAATTTATCATGAATTATCAAATCACTATTATTAAATAGAAAGTGCTCATACTGAAGCAAAGAATAAAACTTAAGAGTTGTAAACACTTAAAGATACTATTTAAGAACAAGATTTTCTAATTAAAAGATTAGAAGATCAAAGACCTATCCTAACTAATTTGAAAGAAACTATGGAAAATTAAGAAAATATCATTCTTAGTTTATAAGAGACTATTAAAGAAACTTCAAAAAATTTAACTAGGTTAGATAAACAATAATTATTTTACAATTTAGATAAATTAAGGGCTGATTAACAATTACTTAAATAGAAATAAGTTTAATTGTAGCACATATCAGAGATGAATAAGGGAGAAATTCCAAGATCTTTCTTTGAATAATTTAAAAGTGATGATTTTTTTAGAGATAATCCAATCATTGTGAGTAAATTTCAAAAAAGAGCAGAAATGCTATTGAAAGAGATTGAATTATTGCAAGAAGGATTAGCAGAAACTAGATAAGCCCCTATATAATAATCTATTCGTCCAAAATCTTAAGGTACTAATGATAATGTAATTCTTTAATTGGAAATATAATAAGCAGAAAATAAGGCAGAAATATTGGAAGAGTAAATGTTAGCTGTTGCAAGAAATTATGCAAAATAAATTGCAGATTTAAAAGCACAATTAAATATAATTGAAGCATAATTACGATGAACTTATCAATTAAAACCATATTTTTACTACATTATTATAGATGCTGCTAATTCTAAATTACCATTTGTCTAATCTAATACAATTATAGCCTCAGCTCTTGAAGCTCCAATATTAATAATTGTTTATATTGAAGATTCTGGATGTCTAGTATGACTAGGTTGTTATTATTATTATTATTATTATTATTATTATTATTATTATTATTATTATTATTATTATTATTATTATTATTATTATAGTTATTATTATTATGGTTAATTTGAACTTTTTATAGGCTATTCTTCTTCTATTTAAGAATCACTATTTTGTCTTTTTAAGATCTCCTACTCTTATTATATGCTTATTCTTTTATGAATTTAACCTTCTGGTAGAAATGGTACACTTAATTTTTCATTTGGAAAGATTAAACAATTATCTTTTAAATTTATATTACACTAATCATTATGTATACAAAATTACTTAATATCTTTTAAGCATATCTAATCCAAACAAAAAATCAATGCCATCTCCATCTAAAATAGTCAAAGAGCATGGTAAAAACTAATGATTATTCAAATAGATTTACTTGATTTAGTATTTACATTTCCACAACATGAATTCTTCCAATAATTTTTTAAGTGCCTACTCCTTAGGCTATACCTTAAAAACGAGTATCTACCAATCTCATTATTCCACATCTCTCTGCACAAGCTTTGGACATAATTGTACTTTGTGCCCCACTATCAACAAAAGCCTATACAGGATGACGATTAATTGATAATTCAATATATAACATAGTAACTGTTCCAAAACTTTCAGGAATGAATTCTTCAGCATATTCTCGATTTTCTTCAATATTTTTTTTGTTGATCATTTCTTCAATAAGTTTTTAATTTTCAGGATTAAGGGGATCCTATTCCAATTGTTACATCTTTCGTATGTATTCTTATTATTGTTAGAATTTTTTTTATTGCTAAATGAATGAGATTAATACTTATTTCTAAATATATTCCATGACACCTGCTAATTTTTTTTTTTCTATTGATTCTGACAATTTTGGATCTTTGATTCTTATTGCTTCCATCAAATGGGGATTTTATTGGATATGTTTGATAAACTTAATAGCTTCTAATTCTAATGGAGTCCTTTATTATTTTGGTTTCCTCTCAATAAGAACTAAATCTTCATTTTGCATATTATATTTAGAGAGAGTATCATTATCATTCATGAATTATCCTCCATAAATCAATTATTATCTGGCAACTGCTATTTAGAACTTAGATTAGAATATAAAATACTTCAACTTCTATTAATGCCTTTAAGTCTAATACAGTGAGTGTTTAATCAACTTCTAAGATTGAAATTTTATCTTTTACAGGATCTGTGACTTGTAATCTGTAAGACATTTAGAAATTAATTTTATTAATTATTTTTATTATTTTGTAAAGAAAATAATCCTAATCTCTTTCAATAGCTATATAATAAAACAAAGAATAAGAAAATTTAACTTTTATTGTAAATTCCTATTTGAATTTCTGACTATCAACCAATAATTAAAATTATTAATATTTTATTATAAAGTGTAAGTATTTGCATAATTAATAGAGCTTAGTCATAGATATCTATTATGATGAAGGGATAATTGTACAATATCAAAAATTAATTTCGGATTCAAATGAATTTTAAATTTAAGTTATAGAATTAAAATTTTTAGTTTTTAATATGACGTGTTAGCAATTTTATTACACATGATTAATTTAAATTCAAAAGAGTAATAGTGTGTATCAAAACATGTTATTTGTAATAATCATAATGAAATAATAATACATCTTCAATATATAATAAATATAAATATTAAGTGGAGTAATTATATTAATAGTGTGCATTATGATATATTTTAAATCGTTTTTAAATTCTTAATTTTATCACTTAAAAAAATAAATCCATGAATAAACAATTCAAGGTAGCCTTAATAGGTGATTCCAGAAGTGGGAAGTCATCACTAATAAGAAGTTTAAAAGGAGAAGAGTTTTTATATGAAACATAAGAAACTATCGGAATCGATATTTATCAAAGAAGTCTTGATTTCAAAAATATGAACTACACATTTAAACTTTATGATACTAGTGGATGTGAAGCCTATAGATTAATTTTGAATAGACTTTTAAGCCAAATTGATGCTGTAATTATTTGTTTCGATGCTTCATAAGACAAGTATTAAGAACAAATAACTGGTTGGTGTCATTTAATAGAAAATGAATTAAGAACAATACCAACCTTTATTGTAGGGAATAAAATTGACATTCAAAATTTCAGTTTAATTTCTGATATATCTTCAAAATATACAGTTTTCTTTGTTTCAGCTAAAACAGGAGAGAATGTATAGAAATGTTTTAACAAAATATTTATGTCATTGACACCTTAGAAGCATTCTATGATTTAAAAAAAGCCATAGAATAAATAAAGCACTTGGGGATTACTTTGTTCTTGTTGCAAAGGAGAATGAGAAGATGATTCTAGAATATTTATTTGTTTAATGTTTAATGTTATATTGTTGTATATAATGAATAATAATTATCCATTTGTAATAAAATATGGTTTGTTATCATAAGTTAAAAATGAATATTATTTTTATAGAATATATAAGGATTTATAAAGAAGAAGAATTTGACTGAAAATAATGTTTACATAGGATATTAGTTATGGATCAATAATATATTTTAATTTATTATTACAATAAGAAATATTATACATTTTATATAAATAATGAATTCAAGAAATGGATCTAGAGAAAGATAAACAAAAGAAGATGGTAAATCCTTATTTTGGGAACATTCCAAAAATTTACCACCCTTTTTTGCTGAGAATATATTATTTTTAGAAATGGAAGTTGAATGCAATAATGTTACTATTGAAGTTGTGAATCAATTATTAGAATTATACCGTGTAATTTAACATCATATAAAGTAGATTGGTGTAGAATACTTTGAATAAATTAAAAGCAATAAGTTTTTGATTTTTAAGAATAAGACATAGTAATTATTAATGAAAGGAACAGTTAATTAATGCATGAATATTGCTTATGAAGAATTGAAACATGAAACAGCACTTAAGAAAACATCACATCATGAAAATCAAGAAAAAATTCCTCCATTACCTCCATCTTCAAAATTAGTAATTGCATAGAAATCTTAGAAATAATAAGAAGTAGAAAATCAACTCAAATATATCAAAGAATAAGATTAAAAATTGTAAGTTAATCAATTGTTAGAATATCATGGTTATGAGTCTTAACGTGTTACAAGAATACATAATTAGTAATCTATTTTTATTATCATAGAGCTTTGTAAGAATAAGAAGATTAAGTGTAACAACGCTTATAAAGAAGAAGAATGAAATCTGTAAAGCTAAAAGGATAAATCGAATGAAATTTCAATACTAATTAATTTTCTATCTATATTATTATAATTATTCTGTCTATTTTATTTTGTTAATAACACAAAAATTGAAATCAATTTGAATCTCATCATGAATATGTATAAGCAAAAACAAAATATCTAGAATAAAGGAGTTTCTTTAATTATACTAAAACTACTTTAATCTCTTTTTTATTTTAGTAACAAAATCATAACATCAACAATTATTGGATAAAGTCTAATATTATTAATTTAAAGATAAGAAATAATTACCTTAACATAAATTTCATCCAAAATACAAAGAATAATCTAAACTTCCTATTCAAATAAATGATATTCGATAGATATATCTTTGATAATTTATTCTAAAATCAAATTAGGAAGAAATATCAAAAGAAAAAAAGAGTTATATCCATACATGTGGAATCATAAATAATAGATAAAGTAAAATAGACAAAAAAAGAATACAAAAGTCATATAAAAAAATTGAAAGAGAATTGTGTAAATTCAGCTATACACTAAGAATCCTTATTATCAAATAAAGGAGATATATCATAATACTAATCTGATAAAGATTAATTGATGATATTCTTCTATAGGTAATATTCAAGTTGTATTATTTAAGTGCAATATTTAAATGAATAATACCATTAAACTATGAATTATAATGAGGTTTGTTAAATCATAGAATTTAATGATGAAGAGATTTAGGAATAATTAATGTTGATGTTAAAGATTTCATATTAGAACTTAGTAATATAATAGATGAATATTGATTAATTAATAATTATATAATATAACCGTTAAAACATAATGAATTAATTTGCCAATTACATGTAATATTAGACTAAAAGAGTAGTCTCTGTTTATCAGCAATAATGCTATAGTAAGTCTCCTCAAGAAAGAAAATGTTTAGTTGTTAATTAATAATTAAGTCCAAATTAATAAAAATATATGAAATAGTTCAAGTGCATTGATCAATATAAATATTAACAACCAAAAGCAATTATATATCCATCTAAAGGTATGTCACCCACTAATAAATAACCACTTATAGCTACTAAATTAAGAATTTAAGATAAAGAAAATAATAATCATAATCATTATTATAATGCAAATATTATATTCTAACCATGTAAAACTCCTAGGGATCCTTAAAAATCTTAATTGTTTTCTCAATAGAATTCACCTAATATTAAATAACCCACTCCTTAATTTGAAAATCGTTATGATTACGAAGAGAAAAATCAAGAATTCAGATTATCAAATTCGTAAATCAATTTCAGATTTGTAGATTCAGAATAACATACATTTGATGAATAATAACTTAAAAATATAGCAAATTAATTAAATAAAATTGAAATTGGATTAAAAGAACCAGAGATGTCTCCAAAATCAATTAAATCTGATGAATTCTTAGTATAGATGGATTCAGTAAAGAAATCTGATTATTCTAATAAATCGAATAAAAAAAATGTTTGTATTTAAGCTTTTGAAAGTACTTAATTTGAAAAACCTGAGGAATAGTTAGGTAAAATTTTTGGATCTTTGAAAAAGCTTAAGATCATAAAAAAGAAATAAACTCAACCTACTCTATAAACTTAGGTTACTCAAAAAACAATGGAAGATGATAGCATGATGAAATTGGATACATAATAGGATTAATAAGCTAAAACAATTAGTGGATTATCTAATATAGATTTTTAGAGTGAAAAGTTTCAAACAGAAATAACTGAACTTGTATTATATATTTATAATAAAGGATTCACATAGAATTAGAAATCATTAAGTTGAAGAACATGACTAATTTATGAATTTTAGATAAAATATTGCAACCCCAAAATAATTAACATAAAATAATATTAGTAGTTTTATTATAAATAAATTTAGGTTTTCTGATGTATAAAAAATAATTTGAGAAAAAGCCATGAAATATTTGTTTATATTTAGTTATTATTATCAAAGAACTTCAAATTTAATTTACATATACTTAATAACAAATGTCATTCAATTGAAAAATCTTTGTTATTATTTAATTCTTTCCTTAATGTAATGTGAATTAGGAAGATCAAATCTAACTTTACGTTTTTCCTGTTATTAAGTTCTAAAAGAATCATTATTTTTTTGTTATAATTTTAATACACTTCTGGGGGTAACACTTTTTTAATCATCTGATAATTCAGCTGTATGTGATCTATTTTTAAGTTATTATTCTGTGATTACGGATAATGATTATTTATTTAGATTTGGTTCCATACTTACTTAAGTAATAGGATGCGATAATTTAGATGGAGTACTCTCTCTAGATATGGATGGTTATTGAATAAGAAATGGAGCTGATTGTATTGCATTATTAGATAATTCAGCACCAGTAGTTGTAGGTGTTTTCATAGTTATTGTTGGGTCTTTAATAGATTAAATTTGATCTAATGTTTATTTATTTTCTATAGTATTATTCTTAAGGGTTTAAAATTAAGGAGAATCTATTTTGATTTCTTTTTAACTTTATGACTAATCAATTATTTCTTAAAAATTAAAGACAGCAATTTCTTAACTAAAGTAGGTCAAGCTACGATTAAATTTTAAATTTCTAATTTTTGGTTTTCCAATTTTCTTTAATTGATTACTTTCAGTTGGAATATTACATTCCTCAGATAACAAATACCTTTCAGTTGAATTAGGAGATCGATTTGATGCTTTTCGATTAGTAGAAAATTTAGTTTTATTTAAAGAGTCACTTGAATTAGATTGTGCAGGAGATCCTGTTTTGCTTTTATTATTTGAAAATCTATTTGATCTTTTCTACATACTTAAAAGTATTTTACCATTTAATCTTAACTTATTCTTCTACGAATTTCTCTTGCTTATTCTTCTAGTAAAATAGTATTTTAACTTCCACATTGACATGCTAATCTATTTTATTAGCATACGCATCTGCAATTTTTTAACTAACATGTACCCATTTTTATTGATATAATTATTACATTAATAATCAATTTTTGTAAATTTCCTCTAACATTTTGAAAGTCTTGATGCATTCAGATTTCTCTTATTTTCCTGGTTTCACACACATAATAAGTATACCCTTGTCTTTCTTGTCTCTCTTGAATCCTTCCAATCCTCTGCAAGCTATCATATTTTGTTCCCCTTAAGCAATTAATTAATAATGCTTCAGTCCTGCCAGTATACTTTTAATAGTTTATTTTATATCATCATTCAATTGCAGATTGATAGTCTTCTCTCCTGATTCTGTATACAATTATAGTTTGAATTGTTTAGGCATTATTCGTTTGATTAATTCTTGGAATAACTTCTTCTTGCCACTCTGTTTTTAACCTACAATCATTATTTATTATGATTAGGGTATGTCATTTGAACTTCCCAAAGTTGCTTATTTTAAATAATAATATCTTAATGAATGAATGGTACCATCATCATTCATTTTCCTTACTTCAATCTTATGTGGAGTAATCAATTTAATGTGATCATTCAATCTATTAGCTACTGGAAAATACAAATATGGTTGTTATTACATTATTTCATGGAGAGATTATGCAGGCATTCTTTCAACTGTTGGTTTTGTTTCATAATGACATATGAAACTTCTCAAACTGTTAAGATATTCTCTAGCTGCTTTAGGTGACATAGCTTATCTTAATGTAGGAGATTAATATTAAGAAATAGTTGATTGATCTTATGGTCTATTTAATTTGTTAAGAGGTGTTTTTGTTATTATTTATCCGAAATGACTCTATTTTATTAGTGAATTTTAGCTGTTACTTTAAATCATAATATTATTTTAAAGTAATTATATATAATTGTTAATTTATTGTATTCCTTTGTATCAATACATTATTATATTTGATATTACATTATTTATTGTATGATTTATTTTAAATTAGGATTTTGATTTTTGGACTTATAAAAATTGATTAAGAATTTATAATTTAACAGAAAAAATAAATAAATTTATGAATAATTCAAGATCAACAGTCAAAAAAGGAACAAATAATCTTCCTATTTAAAATGGAGACTTGGAAGAATATATGTAATTCATAAAATATACTATATTATTAGATAAATATTGTATGATCATTAAAAGAGTTGTGAAAAGGCAGGGAAATATTTAGAAGCTGATTAAGCAAAAAAAAGATTAGGAGAATTAAAAAAAGATTTAGATTCAAAAAATAAGATAGAAGTTAAGGATAGACATACTAATGAAAAATAAGAAATTGAAAAGGCTCATCTTGAAGAATTTAATCAATTTAACGAATTTTGGGATTAGAAAATGGCTGAATTTGATTAAGAAGCTCAAAGAGTTAAAGAATAAGTACTTTAAAGACATGATGAAGAATTGAAACAATTTACAGATGAATTAGAAAATTCAATACCTGTTAAACCAAAAGATTCTGCAGAATTACTTAGTTTAAGAAAGACTGAGGAATCTTTGGCAAGATAAGAAAAGTATATATAAATATATATATATTTAGTTACTAAGAGGCTCATGTTACTTAATAAAGAATATTATCAATGGAAAGAGATGAATATGAAAGATGGAATTAATCAAGATCATGTAAGATTAGAAATCTCATTCTTCAACTTAAACAAAAATAAAGTACTGAACTTAGTGCTTTACAGTAAAGAATTGTTTCAGGTTAAGAAGAATAAAGGAAGATTAGATCATAGGAATTAGAGAAGTATATTTAATGAGATAAAAATAGATTATTATAAAAGTATTAGAATGTTAGAAAAGAATTGAGTAGTTAATAGAATTAAGAAATCACAAGACTTGATAAGACTAATAAAACTTAATCTATTATGTAATAATCAAGAATGAATTCATCTAAAATGTAAGGTTCTTCAATGAAAAAAGGAGATGAAGAAAACTATTATATTAAATGATCAATATCAAATACTTTATTATAAATGAAAATAAATTAATTCAATCCCAAGACTAAGCATAGTTAATTTAGTAGATCAACTAGGGCAACTTCAATGTTATCACTTAAAAAAGTTGATGAATCAACACTAGGAACTGTTGGGAACTGGGCATAGACTACTCTTCCTTAAGTAAAAAAGAAAGAAAATAAAGTTTTATCTATTTATCAAGAGGATTATAATTTTCTAAGGGATCATGATAAATTCTTTAAAATTAATGATGATGATAATTCTCCATATGCTAATAGGAAATAATAATCTTTGAAAATTTTGTCTCAAATTGATTTAAATGATATAAATGATTTAGAAGAAAGATTTACTTTTGTTCTGAAGTATTGATTTATTATGTCAATCCAAGATATCTAAGACAATCTAAAATAGGCAATTTGTACAATGTCGCCGTTTTTACTTATGCATACATTTTAGAAAAGCAGTTTCAATACGATAAAGCAATCTTAATTTGGTAAAAATACTTAGTATTTTGCAATTCAAATCGAGTTTATCGTTATAAAATTATTGCATATAAACATCTAGTAGAACTCTCACTTTTGATTCAAGATTTTAGGAAGGCATTAAATTATTCTAAAAAACTCATTAAATATACATTATTTTTTAATGAATCTAATTATGAATTAAATACATATGATTAAATAGGCAAAATATTTTATTACACAAAAGAATAATAATTAGCAAAGGCTTTTCATGAAAAATTTATGGATGGTGAACCTATGCCAATATAAAATAAGATTCGATAAGCTATTGTTAGGATGATTGAATATAATATTCGATAAAAATAATCTATAGGTTAAATTGATACTGACAGTGAGGATGATTTTGAATTAGAAAAATTAGTTGAACCTAAAAATTTAGAATTTCATCCTATTAGATTTAAAGATGCATTACTTAAATATAAACATTTATGGGGACATGTTTAAAAATAAAGTGAACCCTTAGGACCACTAAATGTATTAACATTTGATAAAAGATTATTTTAAAGAGAATACTTTACTTAATTAAGTAATAATAATAGCATTAAGAGTTTCATATTAAATAGTAATATCTCTATAAAAAAGAATAATTTATAAAAAGTCATTGATAAATTAATAAATGACATCTAAACTTTTTGATTAAATTAATATCATCACATTTATTTAAAATATATAATAATTATCCAATTATTTCAAGTCAATAAAATATTTAATAAATATTAACGCATTTCTATAGTCTTTAAATATGTAATTTTATTAAAATCAAATTAATAAGAATAATTATTCCCCAAAAATGGTGAAGAATTTATATAGTGTATATTCTAAAATATATTATGAACAATAAGAATATCAGAATTAATTGATGGATAAAGTACTTTAAAACATAAGTAGAAATATAAAAAAAAGGTAAAAATTGGTAATTTTTCCATTAGTTTGATTATACAAATATTACATTTTCTATTGAAAATCTAATATTTATATATTTTACAGAATTAAGAATATATATATACATTTAATATGTATTTTTAAGTTGAAATACTTTATATAGAACTATTCAACTTTTTGTAAATTCTATTGTTATTATTGCTTTGTAGAATAAATAAAAGCATATTGAATTTAACTAAACAGTAATGAGTATTTAAAAAAACATACGATATAAAATGTATAATCAAGTTAATCCTAATGTTATTAACATTTGATATTCAAGATAATTTATGCTTCAGAAATTTGATTAATTGTAATTTTTTTATAAATTAAAAAAGTGTTCTGGATGGTTTAAATAAACAAAATCTTAATTCTGGAGCACCATTCAAATCTAAAATTTATTTTCCATTATTATTTATATTATGAATCAACAGAAGAGAGAAAGAAGAAGTTCATCGATTAAAAAATTTGGTTTTTATGCCAATAGAGATTACACGAATAAATCTGTTTAAAAGAGGATTTAATACAATATCAATCGAAAATAAAAAAAGAAAAATAAGTAGAAGGAGTAATAGGGTAAAAGCCAATCCTTTTCTTAATTTACTTAAGAAGAGGATGACCGAATCCTTAAATTAGTTCATGATTTAGGACCTAAATTCATGAAAATTGCTCCATTCTTTCCTAACAAATCATATAGTATGGTAAAAAATAGGTATTACAAACACTTGAGAGATAAACAAAAAGACATATGCAAAATGTAATTTAAAATATATATCTTAGGGGTTGTGATATAAAAATTGAATAAGAAACTATGTCTTAAAAACCTAATGAAAAACTTGATGAATTAAATTAGCTAATTCATTCTATTAATCTATCTCCAGAAATCATTTCCTTAACTGAAACCTTCCTCTAGCACATTCAGAAGTGTCTAACTTGAATCTATGAATACATGTTATTATTAAAAATATCTATCTAATTTCTTACTGATTATATTATACAAAATTGCTAAATAAACTCTTTTATGATTAATCAAAATTATTTTAATTAAAATAAAATAAGTAATGAATTGCAATATCATTTAGGTAATATTGGTATTGGTTCATTGATATCTTCGTCTTTGTTATCTAAAAAGCCAAGTGATTTGGAAACTTGGGAAATATTCAATTGCCCTATTTATTTTTGTAATGACAGTTATAGTTTGTTAATCTAATAATTCAATTATTCTTTCATCAAAAATTGTTTTATCTTATGAAATAAACATTTTATGTTAATATTCTAAGTTAGAAGTTGTATATTTATGACTATTTTATGATATTTAGTAAAAAGTGTTTAATAAACTCGATATTATTAATTTTTATATTGTTATTTTCCAATTCATTACTAAATTGAATGAACAGATTAAGTATAATGTATAATAAGAGTTATAAATTTATATAATAATCTATTTGATTTTATTAATTTCTTACAAATATTTATTTTATTTATCATTATGTCTAAATTTTATATTATTTCATTTTAAGAACTCTTAAAAAATTAAGAATTTGGATTGTTGGTAATTTATGGATTTGATATCTTTAACAATAAACAGAGATCATATCACCATTTATGATAACTTCAGTTATTTTACAAATATCTTTATCATTTTCTAATAATTATTAAAAATTATATTGGATTCTTAAGATTAATAATAACTGGGTTTATGTTAGAAACCACAATAATAAATAAAGATTTATCATATACATCTTAATGTGATTAAAAATGTCAAAATTTTAAATTAATTTCTAGTGAAATTAGATAATCTATAATCAAGAGCTATATAGTGTTCTACTAATATATATTCAACATTAAATAATTCTGTGTTTTTTAATTTGATATTTATTTTAATGAGCTCATTCTTCACAAGCCAGACATCTTAATTTAGGGGATACTATAATATTATTTAAAAATTGTTGAAGTTGATACAGGATAACCTTTGACTTCACAATTGTTTGTTTATTTATAGTTTTGAAAGGGTTTATTTAATTGAATTAAGTAATCACTGGAATAAAAAAGAAATATTATTTACAAATTGAGAGATTGAAATATGGTATTATTGTAATATTTTTTCTAATTTTTAATTTAATTAACCTACACTCTTTGTGGGAGAAATAGCTATAGTAAATTTATAATTTAATAAAGGGAAAGTCTAAATTCAATATTGATATATTATTTTACATTTGCATTAAACATTTAGATATCTGAGGATAAGGATAATAGGGTTGGTTCTGCTTTACATATTATTGTGATAAATTCATTGATTAAGTAAATTAAAGTGAAACCTCAAATAATAATATTAGTAATCAAATTAAAGCATAGTATTTCTATTTATTTAACATTCTAAGATTTGATGGTCAACCAAAGATGTATATTTGATGTATCTTAAAATCATGAAAGTTAAAGAAAAGGTTTGAAGTAGTTTATAAATTTTATGTTATTTTAAAAGTTGTATTATTATGATTCAAAATAAATTATTATATCCAACAGCAGCACTAAATTGTTCTCCAATACTAGATTTTGGATTATACTTAGTAAAAAACTCTTATTTCAATTATTCTGTTTTCATTTCTTCCCTAGTTAAGGTATGCTTCTTTTATTATTCTGCTACTGATCTTTTATCTTTTTTTTCCTTTCTATCTTATATTCTTTGTTAAGCTGTTAATTTACTCTTCTTTGGTTATTCTATCTTTAAAATTTAAATTCCTTTTTTTTCTTATTCTAATCTATAAGCCCTTGCACGAATATGTTCTGCTTCAGATAATGTTTCTTTCACTAACACTCTTCTAATTGTTCCTTTTAATTAATCGATATTAGTATTCTTCCATTTATTTTTTAATTAATTTAGATCATAAAATTTTTCTATTTTCCTTTCAGCTTCCTTCTATTTCTCTCTCTTAGAATGGGCTCTAATCTCAGTTAATTTGTCTGAATAACATGAGGCAGTGTCTTCCAAAGAAGATCTAGACATTTCTCTAATAGTTTTTTCATCAAAATGAAAATCATCTCCAAGTTCTAATTTATGTTATTAATATTCATCTGTTTTCTTTGATAAAAATAATCTTATTGATTATAAATATTTATTAATTTCTTAAATGTTCCTATTTGGAAGTCCCTTCAAAAAATCCTCTGTTATATGTTATTTCTATTTTATTAATTCTTCTAATCTAAAGAATTCCTTCTCTCCACCTGCATCTAAAATATGCTAAATTGCATCTCTCATTTCATGAAATAACTTCTTTATTCCAGTTTTCTAATTTAAGTAAATACAAATTAATACCCATCTCAAAATATCTTCGTTCTTTGTTTATTTATAGGTTCCTAATGTTTATCTAATTCTTTAAGTCACTTATTTACGATTCTTAATTAATCTCTAAGTTTTTATTAGATCTTCTGCAACCAATTATTTACATATATCTTTGGCTAATGCATAAGCTTCTTTTGCACCAGCTAAGTATTTACTTCTGATTGAATCTATGTACCTAAAGTAAAATTCATCATCGTTGTATAATTTCCCTTCTAAGTAAAAATCTTTTATGAAGTTCAAATCTTCATCCTTAAACAATGGAACAATCACTTACTCCTATTTCGCATAACAAATGTTTTTCCCATGCTATAGTTTCTGTATTCCCTGTATAACGATCATATTTTCTTAATGTCACATTTGTTATATCTAGTTTCTTCACTGGTGAAATTGGTAATGCAACTGAAAGAGAATGTCCATATCTATCTCTTCCCATTGTTGGTTGTATTGAATTACTGTTACTTTAAATAGATTACATAAAAAATAAAAATTAATTAATTTTTTAGTGAGTAGAAGAACTGATTAATTATATAATTTTATATTAAACTGTTATATATATATCTAAATATCTTATATATAAATTACTATTAATTATATCATAATACCAATCATGATTGTTCAATTTTTCCAATAAGGATTATAAGGAGTATAGGATTTCATTAGTCAAGCTCCCTTTGGAATCAAATTATTGACAATAATTACTCTAAATGTCTATTTGATTAATTTTTTATTTAAAGACATCTTTTCAATATATTTTATGGATTTTCCATTTAAGGTATTATATAAATATCAAATATGGAGATTGTTCTTTACTCAATTTATAGAATGTAATATAATATTTTATAACTAATAGAAAAACTTGGATTAATACTAGTACCTTATTTTATGTGTAAGAATCTTTCAGATGTAGAAAAAAACCTTGGAACAGTTGTATTCCTAATTGATTTCTTTTTCAAAAGTTTCATGATTCAAGTATTTCTTCTCTCTAATTAGGTTATATTCTTAATTATTTCCATAATAACAAATAAAATATATATACCTTCATTTGGTTTATGGAATGTGTATTTTGTTTTCGTTAGTTTAGAGTAAAAATCATTATTATCTTAGGTGTTTTAAAAATCCAGATTCATTTCGAACAATTTTCTTATGTCCTTGTATTTTTTCTGCCAAATACACTCCATATTTTCTTTTTATTTTTGGATAATTAATAAGTTAAAGCTATGATATTACCGCAGCTTTTATATTACTATGTGTTGAAACTTATTTCTTCAATTATATGATATTGAGACCTAGTCAAGTATAATAATATCATTTTAATTCAATAGCAATTTATTCAAAAATTAGAAAATAGTTTTCTATTTAGATGCTTTAAATCCAGATCAGATTTCTTTATTATGACATAAAATTTATAAGTTAATTCTTCATATTAATCCGAATTACCAGTTTAACATTTTTAAGAATTTTCAGGCAAAGGAATTCAAATTGGAGGTACCCTTAATTTTGATACTATTGAAACCATTAATAAGTAATAATTATTGAAATTTAGTTATTAATATTAAGAAGTCGATAAATAATAAAGCCAATAAAGTAAATGATATACAATTATAATTCATATATATATCTAATTTTTAGTACTTAATCTTTAATTAATAAACATCCTATTTATATATCAATATATATCTTATCCATCCATATATTACTCTAATTATTAATAAAAATTAATATTATATCACATAATTATCAATAATTGAAACATAAAGAAAATTAAATTATTACATCTACTTATAATATTTCTAATATTTGCAACTATATTAACTATTGCAATTTTAAAATAAGAGAATAAGAATATAATTTATTTATATACTATATCATTAATAGTAAACAATAATGAATAATGAGTTACATTTATTGTTTTATAAATTCATATAAAGTTATCTTATATTCTTATAAATAATACTCAATTATATTATAGATTATCATGTTTTTATTTTAAAATGTATTAAATATAAAATTATATATTTAATGATATTTTATTATTTCTCTTATGAATATATCCTTAATAATAATAAAAAAAGAATATTTCTTACTTGCGGCACAAATATCTCATTTTTTTAATCGAAATTTGTAACCTATTTAGTAAGATCTTTATTGTATTTACGAGATGGACAGTTTGAGTTCATATTGAGGAAATTAAACTGTGGCAATCTCATATATATGCAAAGAATAGAATTTAATAATAGTTATTTTGCCAAACATTCTAATTCATTTATTATGGGTTATTAAAAATAAATAAAATTATTCTAAATACTATTATAACAAATCAAATTTGTAGTGTGTTACAAACTATTAGATAACATAAAGTTAATTATACATAAAAAGAACTCTATTTCACTTTTATGAATTTGATTTGATAATTTAAATGATAATAAATGTTAAATGTAAGTTAGTATTATAGTATTATTGAATGAAAATTAGAATTAGAGTAAATAATAATTTTAGGTGATTGATATAGATTAGAATAAATAATTTTCAATATAAATATAAATAAAAAATATATTGCAAATTAAATAAATAATGCATTCATATTAACAGCAAGAACTTATTGACTTACTGTAAAACCATTCCAATATAGCTATCGATCGCCAATTGATAAGTTAATTGTATAATAAATGTTTGCAAGATGTAAACACCTGAATTAGTATTATAGCATAAACAATGCACACTTCCTTAGTTTGAGAAGGTATACAAAGAGGCAATTTAATTATTGAGCCAAAAAATAGCTAATTCAAAATAACAATTACAAGAAGAATAGGATAATTTAGTATCAATAGATGAAAGATTGAAAAATACTCCATTAATTAATAATAATAATCATAGGATTCCAATGAGATTAACTCTACATTCAGCATCAGTATTGAATTTGTAAGTGCACAACAAGTTTATGGTAGGATCTTTTGCATTTTATATGAAGATAGAGGATTATTATGAATATGAAAGTGATTTCAAACCAAGTTATAATTTACAATTCTAAATTAATCAAACTATAGATATTTTAGATGTTGGTGATAGTATTCTACTTGCTTTGAATACAAATACTTAAAATTAGATGAACACTACTATTGTGATACCAACATATTCTTTATAGTTTAATAAAAATGTTACTGAATTACTGACTTAAAAAGAGAATGGAGAATTATTAGAAATAGAAATTACATATGAAATTAAAGTCTTAGATTAGAAGTTATTGACTCTATAATTAAATTAGGCTCGTAATTTAGTAATATCATATATTAAGAAATTCGAAGATGAATTAGAAGATTATTCTTTGTAATTGCAAGACTTGAGATAAATAAAGATTCCTTAAAATAATAATGAAATTTCAAATGAATTAAATGATGGATAGTAAAATTAGAGTAGATAAGAGCCATCACATAATACATATACAATTGGAGTTCCAGATTATTATCATAAACCTTTAGAATTATAGAGTTAGGATTGTTAATAAAATCCTTAACCTTAAGAAAGATAATCAAGTATCATACCTTATATATTTGGAATTATTTTAGCTTCATTTAGTAACATTTTTTTTAATGTATTATTTGAATTATCTTTGTTAATGATTGTTTTGATAGTTGTATTAAAAGATGATAGAACTAATGTGTTAACAAAATTAATGATCCTATTATCATGGATAATGTTTGGATTAAATTTATGGTTGCATTAATCATAGATTTTGATCAACATAATAAGTATATAAATAGGATGGTTAGGATTATGTATATTATAATTATATAAAATTTATTTAATTTTTTTATGATAAAATAAATAATAACTACACCTTTGTTTTATGTGAATGCATAACCACATATTGGTCATCTCTATTCAATGATTTATGCAGATGCCATTGCTAAGTATAAATCTGTAAAATTGTTGACAGGAACTGATGAACATGGATTAAAAGTCTACAGAAGTGCTAAACATCAACCACTCTAATAATATTGTGATTCAATTTCAGATCAATTCAAATAATTAGCTAATTCATTTATTAAGTATGATTAATTTGTAAGAACCACTGATCCACAGCATATCATAAAAGTGTAAAAGAATTGGAATGTGCTTTAAAATAATGGATTTATTATTAAGGATACTTATAAAGGATATTATTGTTAAGTTGAAGAATCATTTGTGAATCATAAAACTGATTAATATTTGGAAGAAGATAATTATTTTTTCAAAGTTGATAAAGATTATCTTGAAACTTGTATTAAAAATTCACCATCTAGATATTAAAATGAACTAAAATAATTAATAATAAATAGTATTTGTATTAGCAGACCTAAACAAAGATATTATTGGGGAATTGAGGTTCCTAATGATAATAATTAATTAATTTATGTATGGTTGGATGCTTTATTAGGTTATTTATAAGAAGAGTAACATCATTATATGCATGTTATAGGTAAAGATATAGTTAGATTTCATGCTTTATATTGGCCTTGTTTTTTAAAAGGAATTAATAATCAATCTACAACTGAATTGATAGTGCATAATCATTGGATAAGAAATAATGTAAATATAATATATTATAATTAAGATGAAAATGTCTAAGTCTCTTGGAAATGTGATAGATCCATTCTAATTATTAAAAAAATACAACTAAAATCAAATTAGATTATATTTCCTAACTTAAGGACCATAAAATATGGATGTTTCATTTGAAGAGAATAAATTAGAGAAGTGTTGGAATACTTACATAGATCAATTTAATAATATTTTATTTAGATTATTTAGACCAAAGATAATATCACCAAATCTACTATTATTATAATAACATTTATTGGATGATCAATTATTATAAACAAAATAATCATTTATAGAATTGCATAAAAATACTAAAGCATTTTTAGATAAGAATTAATTTATAGAAGGTTATTTAGAATTATAAAAGATTTTTGTACTCATAAATACATTAATAGATAAAAATTAACCATGGAAAATGCAAGATTAATTTAAAAAAGAATAATTTCTAAGTTTTATTTGCATTTTAATATCAATGACTTAATAAATATTAAATATATATGTTTAAACTCCTAATATCATAACACCATAATTTAAAGAATTTCCTTAAAATAATAATGTTTAAGTAACAGTAGATTTAGAGTAAGATTTAAGATTAAAAAGATTCATCATTAATTGAATATATCATTATATTAGTCTTTTATAAATTAATAATTTTTATTTAATTATTATTTATTTTTATTAATCTCTTTTATTTCTGTATTACAACCATCATTTTATTCTTTACATTTTTGTATAATTTAATCTATATTTCTTAACTTTAGAGGACTGAGTATACGTTAAGTAGTTTCTTAATAATAATTTTATTTTAATAAATTTTTATTCTTCTTCCTTTCATATTCTAATTGTTATTTATAAATATAATGTCTCTATTATCTTTATTAAAGTAATTCACTAGCCTTGAGTAATAATTTTTCATTATTTTCATCATTATTAGGACTATTGAATCTGTCAAATTTAAATTTTGGTATATAATTTTGACAAGACCTTAATATTTTGATGTAATTCTAATCAGGAATCAATTATTTATATGTTTATTATTTATCCTTATATTATTAAATGACCTCTTTTTCTATGATTCTTTCTTGAATTCGTGTTTCTCTTCTACTAAGCTTTTCATTTTTTATATAATCATCCATTTTTTTGTAAATAGCATCTTCATATTATGGAATTATTAATTCAAAAACTTTATTGGTTTATTTAGGAATGAGATGATGTATTTTTATTTATCTTGTTTTACCATATATCTTGTTAACAAACTCATCATATTACTAATTCAAAAGAGGTGAACTAGATGATAATTATGAAGGAGAATAATGACTTCTGCTTCTATAAGTTATGAATTCATTAATATTATTCATAATATAATTTCATTTATAATATGGTTATGGAATATATTGCGAAGGCTGCTTCTAAAATATAACTCTACTATCCATAGGAAGAATTCTACTTTGAGGAAGCATTTGAGTTTAAGGTGCAGCTTATTATCGAACCATTTTGAAAATGCTTTTTGGTTTTTATAGTTATTGTTATTATTATTATTACTGTTATTGTTATAATAATTTTTCGTAATTGAGTAATTATTTCAAAAAGCCTGAATTTGGATTTACCTATCTACGTTTCGATTTTAATTTCCATAAAGCTTTCTCCATATTCATATTATTTTTGCGCATTAAATATGCCGCAACAATAGTAGGTGATCTACTAATTCCCAAAAAACAATGAACTAATATATTCGTATGCTTTCTATGACGTTCTATAAAATCAAAAGTCTAATCAGCAAATTGTAATATATTGTAATCATCTTTATCATGTGCTTATATCACATGATGAAATTAAACAATAAGATCAGAATATTAAACAGCTGTCTCTTGACTTGCAGTTAAAACAGCTCTAATCTTTAATCGTTTTAAGGTTTCAAGATCTTTGGCTCCTTCATATCCTCCCACATAAATAGCTCCCTCTTCATGTGCTGCTCATTTAACTTTCAAATTAGGTACTTTATTCTACTATGCATGTCAAAGGATCAGGATCAACTATTTGAGGTACAGAATACACGAATTTAAGATCCTCTATTGGAATTGTTGTTGAAACTATGCTTCTAGAGAATGGATCACTTGTCAAAGACATAAAGTTAATTAAATTAGTAATTAAATTTCAATATTGTTCTTTTAAGATATCATATGTATTTCCCATTATCATTACATCATCTAATGTAAACTTTAACTCTGCATATAATAATACTACTATTATTGAGAGTTTACAAGATTATTATATTATACTCTTAATATAAAAATTTTATAGTAGGTTATATACAGATGATTTGTAAAAGTATAGTAATTTAGAATAAAGTATTTATTGAATCTGAATTATGAATTTAATATCTTTGTGTTTTTTAATAGTATTATAAAAGGGAGATATAGTTTTCATATATATTTGATTATAAGTTTTAATTAAATGTTCCTTCATTTGATACTTAAAGGTTATGATACATATAGAGTGACATAAACAATTAATAAATTGATATTGATTTTTATTATTCACATATATTAATATATTTGTAAAAATAGCATAAAAAAAGATAAAATAATTTAAATTCATATATGTGATTCCAAATTGATTAAATGAGTTGAGCTTAAGTTCTATGAGACCGATGACTTAATTTCCATGAAGAATTTTTTAATTTTATTACACCCATTCAATATTTTATAGGAACAACGCTTAACTAATTGGTTTCCATTTTTCTAATCTGAATCTTCTTTGATTTTTTTCTTCTTCTTCTGATTCTTACTTCTAAATTCAGCCCAAATAGCTTTGGCAGAAGAATAATTAATTCCAATAGAATGAGCAGCCTATTAATTATTAAAATTGTTACTGCTTTAATGGTTTATTTCTCCTTCACAACAGCCTTTAAAAACAAATCCTTTATTGATTGTGTAATTTTTAAATACTTCTTTTCAGCCAATCGTGGATCAAATTTTAACATCTCCTTTTCCACTTGTTGCTTGATATCGTCCAAAATTTTCATATATTTAATTAATGCGAAACGAATACACAAAATAAACCATAGATTCAGTCATAAGTGCGTAATTTGAAGCCATAAATTTAATTAACAAACAAAACAAAACTTTATTAGAAACATAAATGGGAGTATGTTTATATAGAGATAAACAATTAACTTAATATGCCTTATAAGCATAATATACAGATTAGTTAATAATAGATCAACTTCATGATATAAGAGATGTTATTAATTAAAAAATAGTGAGATCTTATTAATATCTTACCTTAATCAAAAATGAATTATTCTAAGAAAAACTTAATGAGAAAACTATGAATATATCTGTCATTGAAATATTAGGAAATAGAAATATGATTTATTTAGAAATTCACAAATAATTATAGTATATATTCATCTAATTAAGGCAATTCTAAAATTTCATTAATTGGATTAGCTATAGAAAACGAAAAATGCTTTTTATTACTGAGAACTATGTAAGCATTAACAGAGTAAGTTACATTTTAGGTAATTTAAAGTTTAATTGAATTATTGTACAGATTTGGGTATTTCTGAAAATTTATCAGATGTCATCAAGAAACGATTTTTATAGAGGTTCTTATGTTTTGGAGTAATCTATATAAATGACATGGTCATCCCAATTTTTAGAAAGATATCTACAAGAATCAAATGTCCTGTTCTTTAAAAGTACAAATCACCTAGAAATGATATCATATGTATAATCAAATATGAAGAGTAGATATATAAATTAAAAAAATAAAATGAATTTTTAATTTCATCTCACTAAATTCCCTTTAATTATAGAATTACTTTAAAGGGGGTAAGTTGTAAGATGCTTTTTTTTGAATTATTAACTATTTCTAAATATAATTAAAAAGAACCATATGAAAAGATTGTAATAATTATTATTAATTATAATATTAATTTTTTAATAAGGATAAAAAATCATAGAAGTATAAGTTGGGCTTCAAGGTTCTACTTATTAAACATTTGAAATCTATCTTTCATTTTTTAACTTTTATCCATCATACCAATCTAGTATTAAAACCCCTATGCATATTGGTAATAGACCTAAGATTTATTAAAATAATTTACTAATTAAATATAAGGCTGTAGTTAAGGGAAATATTATGATCCCTAAAATACTAATTAATATATTGATAACTACTTTAACACAACAGTTTTAATTGATATAACATGAGGTTTCTTATATGCTTTAAAATAAGAGAATTTATGCAAAAAACAATCCAACAAAAAATAAACAAATAATTAAGTATAAGTACCAAAAAATTAATAGAAATTTAGTCCAAAATTTCTTATCATCATAACAAGGCATAAAATGGGGACAATAAAAAGGATGTAAAAATGTAATTTCCTTTTGACATCCCCAACACCATTAACATTTACAAAAAGCACATGTAATTTAACTACATCCATCAACTTTTTCAACTAAAAATTTACATCTTGGACATTGAACTAATTTTTCATTATTTTAAGGTATTCCAATAAATTATTTTAAGTTTTCTTCACAATTTACATCAGGATGTGATTTTTACCTACAAATTTTACAAAATTCAGTTTAACAAAATGTACATTTTTCAAATTTATTAGAAGTTTGAAACATAACTATTTTTTAACATAAATTATTTGGACACCATATTCTATCTGTACTGGTTGCAACAGAAATATTATTTTTAAATTTAAGAAATTTTTATTTGATATCTGAAGCATATTTTAAAATTAATTCATCATTTAATTGTTCATAACAATGAGGACATTTTAAATCTTAGACATGACCACTTTTAATTTATACTATTAAATTCATTGTAAAACATTCTTTACAAATATTATGAATTTTATTATTAAAATTTATGATATTTTCTTCAAATTTTTGTTCATAACAAATTTAACAAATTATAGTAGGTTTAAATTTATTTTACATCTCTTAAGCCATGATAATTAAAGTAGAATAATTATAATTACAAACTTGATGTAAACTTTTTTCTTATTAACAAATAGCACAATCAATACTTCCATTAAATTAAATAAAATCATGATCATTAGAGTTAATATTTTTGTAAATTTCATTAGCTATTTCTAAATTTTTACAATCTTTCTAAATTACAATATAAATTGTTGCAAATAATGGAATTTAATATTCTGTATGTAATTTTAATATTAATTCCTATTAAGAATCGCTTATTGTATTTTGTATTTGGTCTTTATCTATTATTTCTACTTCTTCAACATTTAAATTTATGTTATCCATTGAGATAATTCTTTAAAATAATAAAATTAAATTTACAATTAAATAAATAAATAAAATTTGTAATAATTATTAAATATTATTCAAATTTATCAAAATTAGATACTATTTAATCATTAATTTAGAAGAATTAAATATAATATTTATGATTATATGAATGGAATTTATGTTTCATATTTAAAGACTTAGAATAGCAATTAAGGCAGGGAATAAGATTGTCTCAAATGTAGATTAGTTATTGGTATTATTTGGAGTACTTGAATTATTGTTTTAGTTGCTATTTGTATTACAGATCTAACATTTGTTAGAACTATTATTCCAAGTATATTGATAAAGTGTTTTTGTTAAACAATCATCTGCATTTAAAGTAGTTGGATCAGTACTAACACATTTATTTTAGCTATCTAATTTACAAACTGTGTATATTTTCTTATCCCAATCATAATAACCTGTGCAAGTGCCATCAGTTTAAACTTCACATGTTTTAGATATGCAAATATATTCTAAAACATTAGAGATTGTCTTTCTTTACCAGTAACATCTATCAGATAAGGCTTTACAAGCTTTTTGATTTGCACTAGCAATAGAACAATTGGTGGCATCAATACATAAACTTTTGCTTGCACTAGTTTAAATCCAAACACAAACAGAATTTATACTACCTTTATCACAAGCAGCTTCTGTTTTATAGATAGAACAATAAGAGATTTCTACACAAGTTGAGCCATCTTGAATACAATCACTTGAAAAGCTTGAACATTAAGTGATAGGATAATCAGAACATTTCATAGGATTACATGATTTATCCATACCAGTATTATTAATCCAAGCACATTTTCCATCAGTTCCAGTTGCAGCAATGCAAGAATCATAATTTTTTAAAGTATTACAAGTTGTTTTAAGTATACATTATGAACCATTAGAAGTACATGTATTTAATTGGGAATTACATTATTCATGAGTTGTACCTATTAATTCAGAACATCCTTATATAGTACATTTATCATTTGTCCATTAACAGAATCCAGTAGAAATAATATTTCCTTATGCATTTTTTTTTTTACCTTATTTGTCAATGAAACAAGAAGCTTAATTAGTATAATTTTCACAAGAATCTAAATCAATACAACCTTTGATTCCATCAGTAGTGCATTTACCTTATGAGTAATTATAACAATCATTATGATTTAAATAATAAACAGCAGAACATTCTGTAAATTCGATACATTATTATATAGATGATTATTTATTTGATAAAGGTGCCCAGATACATTAAATAGTAACTAGATTTTTGATACCAAGATAACAAGCAATTTAAGGAGTATTAGCACAAGTACTAATAGAAATACAATTATCTCCATTAGTAGTACATTATGAATGTATTTAGTTGCATTCTTAATGAGTAGTATATATAAGATCTGTACATTTTGTAAATCTATAACATTAATTATTACTCCATAAACAAGGTCCATCTGTTCCTAAAACACAAGATAAACGATTATCAGTATTAGAACAAGTTTTCATAGAAATACATTTGATTCCATCTGATGTACAATCATTTTATTAAGAATAACATGCATAATGATCAGTTCCAAAGAGATCTGAGCAAGATTTCATTTTGCAAGAACCATCTTACCAGGAACACAATTTTCCATCATATTAAGAAGTGCATGCTAATTCAATTTATGCATCTTTGCATTTACCTTTTTATATACAACCACCACCTTTTTTAGTTGTGCATTTAGCTTCTGGGAAATATTCTTCACATTATGTTTCTGTTTTTAATGATATATCAGCAGTTTCACATGTTTTATCATAACATTAGTTATTCACCCAAGCACAACTTTAACCAGAACTATTAAATTTACAAGCTTCAGGTATGTAAGCATCTTGACATCTCTTTTTTTCAATGCATCCATTTCCATTTGTTGTACATTTTTTAAGAAAGGTTGAACATTCTGAATCTGTTTTTAAAGTTATAGGAGCATTTTCACAAGAAATTAATTGACATTGATCAAGTAATGTACAAGGACCATCAGTACCTTATAAACAAGCTGATGAATATTTATATTCAGAACATTTCTAATAATTAATACATCCTCTTCCATTAGTTGTACAATTATTACCATATTCTTAACATTATTTATGTGTTGAATATGATTTAGGTGCATGTTAACATTATCTATTATAACATGAACCATCAATCCATATACATATTTATCCATCACTTTGAATAGTGCATGCATTTTATTAAATATAAGTAGAACATGATGATAATATATCTACACAAGATCCAATATCATAATTAATTATCCATTAACATTATTATCCTGTAAGAGTAACTTTGCATTAACCAATAAATGAATAATTTTAGCATTTATCTAATTTTCTTTGACAACCTTTACCATTAGGTTTAACTGTGCAACTAGATAAATATTTTTCACAATCATTATGTGATGTAATAGTAATAGGTGCATTAATACATGAACGATCTTCACATTATTTTTTGACAACATTCCAAGAACATTTATTATTATCATCAATTTAAACACATTATCTTTCTACATCAATATCAATACATTATAATTTTCTCAATTCACATCCTGTTCCATCAGCTTATACAGTACATTTAGATAAATAACTTCTACATTATTCATCAGTATTATAAGTATCAGGAGCATTAGAACATTATCTACCAACACATCCATTATTCCATCCACATTTTTATCCATTAGATAATTGACTACATTAATTCAAGGTCTATATTTAATCACATGTAGAATATTCATTAATACATCCTTTATTTGTTAATCCAATAGTACAACTTTTCAACCAAGCTCTACAACCACTCTCAGTAGTAATTGAAATTGGTGCATCTGAACATACTCTATCTTAACAAACAGAAGTCTTAGTATTCCAACTACATTTATTCTCACTTCCACTTTTTCCGGTTGCATTAATAGTTACCTTTGGACAATGATCCTATTCTAAACCATTACAACTAGTAGGTTATGCTATACAACCACCACTTTTAGCAGCTGTACAATCTGATTTATAACTCTAACATAAAGTATCAGTATTAAATTTACTCTTACTAGCATCAGTACATTATGCTTCTCTACAACTACCAGAACCTCCAACAGTATTCCAAAAACAAGTTATTCCAGTACTTTTAATCTAAAAACACTATTCTCTCATCATCTAAGTACAATCATTTGGTTCATTAATACAACCTGTTTAATCAGCTTTAACTGTGCATGTAGGTAACCAACTTCTACAAAGTGTATCTGTCTAATAACTTGCTGGAGCATCTGCACAAATTCTATTATGACATTATAAATTAACATCATTAATTGTAATATCAAAAGAACAAAAACCTCCATCTTGTAATCTAACATTATTACATCTAACTTCAGATAATCCATTACATTAAGTAGGTTTATCTATACAATTTTCATTAATTCCTCCCTTTGTACAAGTACTCATAAAAGCTTCACAT